TTTTGGCCTCTAGGGACCTCAAAACGAAAAAAAATCGGTCCCGCGTCCAGGTCTTACCATGAGTACTACGGTAATAGCTTATTCCCTATATGGGAAATTCGCTAACAGCACGATTATGGCAGGCCAAGAAAGACGCTACAGATTGAAAAAGTCAGTAGCAGTGGCGGTCCCAGCTAAAGCATAATAACGTATAGTTTTACAGTATTTCAGCCCTAAAATATCTTCAAGCTACTGTATTTATGTTAGGTTATAAAATATTTTGGAGAGGATACAGCCCCCCCCCCCACACCAGGGACCGCCACTGGTCAGTAAGTATTCATTTGAACAGCGACACCGAAATTATAGTAACCAGGAACAGTAAAGTTAATCTCTTAACCAAGTTTTTTGCAAATGTACTAAAGCTTATAACAGTGTCACATGCGCAATTTGTGCATGCAAGAAAATGTCCATTAATTGTTCCTCGTTGGCCGTTATGCCAGAACTGCTAAGCGAACTTTTTACATGGAATGCCCATTCTGATGAATGAGGAAGATGAAGAATATATAGGCCTACACCGCATTATCACTTCGATAGCCAATATTGAGTCTAATCAACAAGAATTGAATGATGGAGATGTCCTAGATGGTGGTTCTCAGTTCCAGATGGCACCTGTTTTTGGGACAGAAGTCGGACCCTCTCGTCCCAAGTGAGTCAGAGCACGAACAATAGTATTAAAAGTCTTGGTTTCGGTAGTTGTTATAAATAAACCTGGACAAATGTAGCTGAAAACATAATCTTTTTCATTTTTAGTGTAATAATTATGCCCAAATTACTTGTTTCCATGACAAATATACAAAACTTTTTTAATTTATATAAACTATTTTTAACACAATATATACGATGGATATATTATATTATATAGGTTTGTGCTCCAAAACCTGTTTTCTATCCTTACTAATGTAAAACAACAGCAGGCTAATCGATTATATGAATTTATTTGAAAAAAAAACGTCTGAAAAATCAATTTAGAAAATAATTCTTATCTTATTTTGAGAATATCTTTAAAACTAATGCATGTACATAAGAAATGAATATAACCATTCTTGTAGAGAATTTTATCATCTTTCTTTTTATAATTTACATTTTTTCCGTACGATGCACGGTTTTCAGTGTAGAAGTAAAAAACTAAAAAATGGGGTCTTTCCCCCCCTCCCCCCGCTGAAGCAGCAGGGCCAGGGGCGGGGACTTTTGGTATTTTTATCTTCTAACTACCCCGAACACATTCCCGCAGAAAAAAAATTTCCCCCTCTCCATGTCCTCTACACCCCTCTTTTGAGCCTTCATTGACTGGACTAACAGCTCAAAAATTATATTTTAGATGTCGTAACACTGACTTATATCATTGGACATTGTGACATTTGGACGTCGTGCAACACTCCCTATTATAATATAATATAATTATAATACCTCACTACTATTATATCTGGTTTTCACCCTTATGGGACCATTGGTTTTGTCATACTATTTGAAAACATCTTGAAAGAAAATTGACATTCCTGCCAAGTATAAATCACGTTTTTAGCTTCCTTTTGATCACTGAAAGTTGTGATTTTAATACACAACTTGATCATTTTAGTGATCCTTTGTGAATGTGAGTGATTGTCTTTTATGCTATCTCTGTTTATTTTCCAACAGCAAGCTCGATGTAAAGAACTGCCCAGGTATGATCAGACAAATCCTACAATCAATGGACGGACAACTTCTATAGGTGATTCTTGCTGCTCAAGACTCTCCTAAGCTCAACTTCCTCGTCTGTTTCCTTGGTTGTGGCCTAAAACATTACACATCTCTGCTGGTGTAGTTGGTACTTGTCCTGGAAAACACCTGTATTAAAATGAATACAGGTTCAATCGTGGTGAAAATCCTTTGTACCTTTGTAAGTTGGGTTTGTCGCACGCATTATGATGTTTATCAATTTTAAGCAAAATAACAATGGTTTTAGACTGACATAATAAGTATAAAATTCCCCCTGCATTTAATAGTTAATTTAAACAAGACCAAATAAACAATTTAGAATAATAGAGTAAATAGTCATTAGCAGATTCGAGAATTGCTTTCCCTGAACTTTGTATAACATCACATTTTAATCAGGTATTTGAGACACTGGTTTAGTACTTATTTAGTTGTAGTATTAATTAACAATTACAGAAACATTTGTCAATAAGAAGATTCGATAAGAAATATGATGAATGTTTTAGTAAAGAAATGTTATTTTTAGTAATTTTATTATTTATTTATGTTACAGATTATTTTAATATTCAGGTATAATTAGATATAATTCCTGCTTCTAGTTAACTTACATCTCCAAATCTTCTCCAACTAACACAACCTGAAAGTATTTTAATTAGACATGTTTGTTTATAGAGCACATTATAATGAAGTAGATCCTGGATTATATCTTAGTTTTATCCTCCTTTAAGTTTGAACGGTATCAAAGTAATACATTTTTGATCTTTCATGCATTCAAGTGAATAGTTATGTGCTTTGTAAAGGTAAGCATGACAATTTTTTCTCTAAGACAAGATAAGTCTTACAATTTGACTCATGTTAACTAATGTTATTGTAACAACATTGTCAATTTTCTAGTATAATCTGTTCATTCGGAGGATTGAATGTCAAGATGTTGACACTTTCTCTTTACAATGTTGAATGGTTGTACAGAATAGTGTACATTTCCTGTGATATAGCTTATTGTTGTTACCCTGTATGTTAAGGCATTTGTACTTACCTGTAAATAGGAGCACTGATTGGGTGTTTGTTTTAAACTAAATATATTTAAATATCTAAGCTATTTTAAAATAATTTTGATTTATTTTTTGTGGTAATTTCTGTGGTTATTATGTTAGCATAATTTGTTTTATTATTACTATCTTACATGTAATGTGGTGGGGTTTTAACTCATTGTGAATTCGTTTTTGAATTAAGTAAAAAACAGTATTATAAAAATTCCATGTCATTAAAATGAATTGTTATATAAGTTATTTTACTTGTGTTAATTGTTATAATTGTTTTTAACTTACGTGACTTTGTTACTTAATTTTACTTTTATGGCTAACCTAAACTGGCCTATTTAAATTAAAATCATTTGTAAAATATTTCTCACTTGTCTTTTTCTTTGTACTCGTACATTGTTTAAACATTTAAGAAGGGTATAACAATTTGAAAAAATTATATTTTGTTGTATAAATGAGAACCATTCTTTTTAGACACAGCATTACCTAATAAGGAATGTATTCCGAGATTGAGCTGGTCTTAGCCGTAGAGCGCAGGATTTCAGTCCTTGAGGTCCTAGGTTCAAATCTCACCCAATCACTAATGAATTTTAGTAATAATGCTGTAGCCCCTAGGGCTATCCTGAAGTATTGTGAAAAACGATCCCGTACTAGGGCCTAGCGTCCTAGGAGAAAAATTTTATAAAAATGTCTGTCATAATAGTTTTTATGAGAATTAACTCAATCCATTAATCTACTTAAACCACTTTGTTGATCAGAGCTGTTTTTATCTGCTCAAGAGTATCAGGACCCTTGTTAGCTAAAGGTTCCACATATTTTGGTTGTAACTGCTGAAAATTAGATTTTCTTTTTTACAAACTCAATTTACAGTTTGCTGTTTCTCCCAATTTGAATATTCCGTAAGCATTTTAAGACATTCTTCTGACACTATCAGTTATCGTACTAATATTACAATGATAAATAAAGTGCAATGTGCAAAACTGGAGCCATCAAATAAGCTTCTTAATAAAAAATTAATAAAATGGTTACGATTATGTTTAAAATCTAATATATAAAATTCTCGTGTCACAGTGTTTGTCTGCAAACTCCTCCGGAACGACTTCACCGATCGTTATGAAATTTGGTGTGTAAATTCTGTAGGCATGCGAATCGGACGTAAACTATTTCCCGTTTCGAAATTCTTAAAAGGGCTCCGCCCCAGTGGCTCTGGAGTTTCCCATGTTAACCTTATGAGAAATGGAATTAATGAATCTTAACAGCTGTTTCAATGGTTCTGTTCTATGATGTTCAATAGCATTAAAGTTACAAGGATTACCAACAGGGTGCAGCACTATTATTTCTTTTACATTTATGACAACAGCTAATTTGCAACCAAAAGGTGAGTGAGCGTAGCGAACGAACTTCAACCTGGAGGCGAGTGAGCGTAGCGAACGAGCTAACCTGTAGGCAAGTGAGCGCAGCGAACGAGCTCCAACCTAAAGGTGAGTGAGCGTAGCGAACGAGCTCCAACCCAAAGGTGAGTGAGCGTAGCGAACGAACTTCAACCAGGACGTGATTGAGCGATGCGAACGAGATCATCTTGAAAATTAAACGTAACGGTACTTTCTTTCCATCGGTCTGTCTTAGGGGAAACCTATAACTTAGGCGATACGAAGTTCGCCGGGTCAGCTAGTGTATTTATAAATCTCAAAAAAGTTTGATTCTTAAATGGTGTTGCCCTCAGCCGATCCACTCAACACAAACTTTACTGTTTTAACTCTCTGTGTTTAAATTTAGAAAGTTTTGCTCATAATAAGTTTGGTAAAACTGCCAACACTTTTTTTGTATTGTATATTATACTCCATTCATAGAATTTAGGCGTTTCTAGAGGAAGATATCTATCCCCTCCACGTCTTGATCCCAGTAAACATAGCTCAACAGCTGAGATTTGTCAAAACGTTAATTAGTTGCAAAATTCATTAAGGAGAAAAAAGTGTGGGGAAACTTCCCCTCAAACCGCCTAAATATTGTGAACGGAGTATAGTACCTATTCTAATAAGACTAAAAGACTTATTTTGTATTATTTGTGTAATGTAGTATTACAACATTTTGAACTTAAACTTATTTTATTGGTGGGGTTCAATAATTTTACAACTTTTTGTTGTGCATTCATGATTTACTTTAATTTTATCAGTTTAAGAAACATAATAAAAGAATAATGCATTGTTAATTTAATAAAATAAACATTATATTCCTAGCTGTGTTTTATTTATTGACTCAGGGCTTCTGGTTTTGGTGGGATGGCCAAACAATTTAGATATAGTTTCGGGTTCAAATCAAGGCTGGTTGCATGATGTGCTGTAGCGCTGATCACTTGTTGGCTGAGCATGTATTGCAGGGTCGTAGGCTTGTGTCATTCATTACACGTGGTTCCATGCTTATAAATGCTGGCACCTACTGTGTTGCTGGTGGGATGACACTGTGAAGCTGTTGAATGCTGCAGTATGGGTGGTACAGGTGCTGGTCTCAGAAGTGTCGTCATTGGTTACTGAGGCTGCTGTTGCCATCTGGATCATGGTGGCAGCAGCAAACTCAATAGCAATGATAAACATGTAAAGCACCTCATCTACTGTCTTGGAGTCTTGTCTCCCTTTAAAAAAATGTTTCAGTATTTTTGAAAACAAAATTTTTTTTAAGTATTTTTGAAAACACCAAGTTTACGCTATTTACTGTATGTAAAATCCAGAGATGACTGAACAGACTGGTAAATATGTTTAAAATGAAAGGAGCAATTTTACATTTGTTCGTACAATCAATAGGTCACTCATGGAGGGAAAGTAAGTGATTTGGCTTTAGAAATACTCTTCTTAAACAAGTCTCTGGGGACTTTGCTCACACAGGTCCATAGGGTGCTCGTCATTAATGACTCGAACATTTGAGGGATTCATATTGTTTGCCAAGTACTTAGCCTACTGCACAGAATCTGATTTCCATGAAATTCATTGTCTGGTCTTTAGTCTGTCCTCCTGGCGTCACTGCTTCATGTAATGTGTACTTGTACTTTAACTAGCCTTTTGTGATTCCTGCCTTCTAATTTTTTGATAATCAACTTTTGAGTAAATGGCACCCCATTCATCATTCACTTTCAATGGTAGCCAACACAAGACTAATTGCTACCTCTCTCTCTTCTTCATGTTTGACCTTGATTCCACTCCTCCCTTGGGATAGGACCACAGCTCTGTCTTTTTAAAATCAGAAATGAGAGTTTCCATGTTGGCTCTTTGGAGTTACACTAAGGTCTAACTTTAAATGAATACAAATAAATCAGAATTTTACTATGGAACAACAAAAATAATACTTTGGCAAGAATTTATTGATTATGAAAACAATTTTGTTGTCAAATGACATTTATCGTATTATATTATGTAAAAGTATACTTTATAACAATATACAAATAGATTCAATAATTTTTCTACGTATTGGTACAATTTGACTTAATATAAACTAAAATTTATCACAGAATGATTAACGATCCACCATCTTGAATCTGAGAGGTCCATCAGGCATGTACATTGGATGTATGCTGTAGCTTAGCTTGTCATAGTGATATTCCATCTTGAATGCTTGAACCATCTGAAAACAAGAATTTTAAGACTTAATTTATGGAATCATCAAATGTAAAAAAAAACAGCTATAGTGATATTTAACCACCAGGGCGGTGACATTTATATGGGGTGGCGGAATTGTACAGCTTAGTGATGTCACGATGACGTTTCATTTTCTCAACAAAAAAGCACATACGGGCTGGAATTGTAACCCCCTTATTAATTATTATTAACCCCCTTGATATTGTTATGGACGAGTGGTTCGATTAAATCCATCGGCATCTAAAAAACTGTACAGGCCATAATTGTAGCCCCCTGGAATTTTAACCCCTCTCCCTACTATTTGATTCCAACCTCTTCACGCACTGAAATTAAAATGGATGTGTAGTAATTAATTCCTATACTGTATGTGATTTTTTCAAACTGAAATAAATTAAATCCAATGTAGGCCTATGTCGTCTGTCATATCTGTTAGTCTCTTGTGCGTTACGATATCGTCCATCATATCACCCTAAAACTTGTCGATTGGGGAGGTTGTCTCAGGCAAAGTATATAATCAGGAATTCTATATTGTATCATGTAGGCGTACTTACGACGTTTTGAAATTGACTTAGGGCTTTTTCCTACGAATTTTCAAAATTTTTACGCGTATGAGGTCAACTTTGAGAAAATGTTTTATTAAATAACAATGATAAAAATAATTACTAAAGTATCCTTATTGTCCAAGGCTAACTAAAGTAGTAAAGCAAAATCTTTGGGCAATCCTTTCACAATTATATTTCCTTAGAACAATCACTATTTTTTGTACAAGCTTAAATATCACTCCAACATATGTCATCACTTCAGAAGGAATTCACTACTATTTAGTCTTAATGATAGGCCTACCACTTAAGTTTATTGAAAGACTATTGAAGATGTTACTTTGTTACTTACAGTTACTTTACTTTACAGTTACAGGGAGGGGAACAACTCCAGCCCGTACACAAGCCACGCTACCTCTCCAAGAGGTATACAGGTTACAGGGGGGTACAATTCCACCCTCTACACATTTGGTTTTCTGACAGGGGTTACAATTCCGGGCAGTAAATCTCCTGCTCTTTTTAATTTTTAATACAACTATCCGGTTCACTAATCACTTGCCCACATTAAATAGATTAGATTTCGTTAAAATCAAAGTGTACTGGGGGAATTGTACCCCCTCTAAAATGACATCAACGATCAGTGGGGGGTACAATTTTGGCGACCCAGTTATATAGCCTATGTATTACAATATTTTAGTGTTTGACTACAGTAGGCATAGTTATTTAAAATAATTTTAACTATGGGCCTGTAGGGGCCCCTAATAGCCCCTAATTTAGACAAAAAAAAACTATATAAAAAGACAAATACTTGAAATATGTTTTTAAAATTATAAATGTTATGTTACTTTAATTAAATTAACAGTGTTTCCTGTTTTATATCTTGGTTTTCCTTCCGCTGGAGTCGTATATTAGTTGCTTCTGATGTGTCAATGAAATACAATTGCCCATGAAGCCAACTCCCCATTTCGCTGTAGTAAGTCAGAAATATATCTATGAATTTGTCCCTGAATTTAAAAACAGTAAGGTCCATTTTGTGTAGCGGAAAGCGACGCAAAGGCCATTGCACTGTTGTATTGCCTCATGTTCTTTATGTAGTTAGAATCATGTAAAAACAGTTCTTTTAGTTCGTCATTTTTTTGGTTGTGGCACGTTAATGAGTCCATTGTGGCAAAATGCGTTGAAATGTCCATTTTTGGCCTCCACTGCGAAGTTAAATGCGCTACAATGCATGCAAGTGCTGTTAAGAGGACCTAGATTGTGAGAAGCAACACTCAACTCATTTTCCAGCGTTCTTCTGAAGGCTGGTTGTTAACCAGCTTGTGGATTTCTTTTATAGTTAGGCCTTAAATGACGTTCTCTTTCAGCATTTCTTGTGTCAGTTGAATTCCTGGATACTCTTCTACGTCTTGTAGGTGTTCCCCTACCCTGTCTAGTTACTTCACTCATTATAAAAACGGGGAAAAAATTAAACGAATACATTTCATTTTGAAACATTATTTAACAACATTGACTTTCAGAATAAATTTAAACATTGCAAATAAATAACAGCTGATAGAATGCAGACGTTTTTCAGTCCCTATGCATTTATTATGGTGGATAGTTTACGTTGTATCTCGATTTTTGGTAACTTTATGGGAATTCTGCTATTTTTCCCGAGTCCCTGGGGTCAAGACCTTTAAATTAAGACGTCTCCCACTTTTCTGCCACTTACCAGACGTCCACAATTTTCTGGTAAAAATCTGGTCTTACAGAATTATATATATAGATAAGTGGCTTATTTACAGGAACACGGAACAGCTACGTTTTGCTTTGACTGCCTGCATTTAGTCTCCATGAGTAGAATGATTTAATCAATGCAATGTAGTATATTCGTTCACAATATTTAGGCGGTTTTAGGGGAAGAAATTTATCCCCTCCACTTGACCATTGACCCTTACCGTAAAAAATAGCTCAGCTGCTGATTGGGCAACATACATTAAATACAAAAAAAGTGGTTGGGGGAACTTCCCTTCAAACCGCCTAAATATTGTGAACGAAGTAAAGCTACTAATAATTGAGTTGCTTATGTTAACAAAGATTTTAACCATGTCAGTCACCTTAGCAACCAGAGTTTGTATCTCCAACTCTGCAAAGCGTCTGCCGAGGCACATCCTACGACCGTAGCCGAAGGGCAGCGATGCAAATGGGTGATGTTGCTCCCTGCTACACTTCAACCATCTCTCAGGGATAAACTTGTGTGGCTCAGAAAAATATTCCTCAGAATTGCTGATCACATAGTGTTGGAAAACTATTTGGGTCTGAAAACAGTAGAATTTTTTACTAAAAGTTTCTGTTCAAAAAACACGAGCTGGATGTTTCTGAAGAGGTACCGTAAAGTTGATGGAAATTTCTTATCGATAATTCCTTTAAACCACACTAAGTTTCAGGAGGTAAGGAGACCTTAACAGTTTAGTTAACACACTTAGGGATTGGAAAAATCTATCTATTTTACCGTAAAATAAAAATAGTTGTCCTTCAAATAATGAACATGAAAATACAATATTCCATTTTTCTCTAAGTGCAAATTTGAACAAATGATGTTTTTGACCTCTGGGAATTTAGAAATTAAAAATTGAATCGGTCCCGCCTACAGTAATAGCATTATTCCCTAAATGGGAAATTCACTAAAATAAAATACATGTTTTTCTGATAAAAATATGATACACTTCAATAAGGGGCAAATATAAGGGCCCACCCAGGAGCCCCAAAAATAATGAATATGAAGACAAAAATAAGTACCATATAATAGATATATTTTTTTATGATTTGATGTCAACAATAAAGAAGCGTGATCTCGGTAAAGTAAAATAAGTGGCATTCAGCGCAAATTAACTCTAGTTAAGCAGCAAAACTGAGATAAAGTACCCACAACCTAACCTTACATTAATCTTGGTTCCCCCCTCAAAATATATTCCATATATTGGCCACGTCGCCACTGACTCTTTTAATAAATTTGATACCGTATGACAAACTTACCCCTTTTGGTATTTGATAGCCAGCAATGACAGAGTCTTTGGTCATGCATCTACCATTGCCGATCACTACTGGATACATTCTGAAATTAATTTGGAATAATGAGTTATTTTATTTTTTTTAGTATTAGAAATTCTGAAGGTCTACAGGGGTAATAAACCCTTTGTGTACGATTCCAAGAAATTGATATCTTTATATGCATCTATAGGCTCTGTGTTAGAAATTTAATTACAATCTATTCATTGGTATTTGAAAAATGGTTTTCGATGAACCCCTTCACTTTCATACAGCTTTTTATTATCTATTAGTTTCCACACCAGAAGTATTTTGTGGGCAAGAATTGCGAACAAATTTAAGTGAAAGTGATCCAAACTCATGAAATTTTGTTGATATACTGGGAATTGAACCTGTCCTTTTACACCTTAGTCCAAGACAGAAACTTTTAGATATTGATTTGCTGTAGCAAACAGTGTTTCATATTGTATAAGATACGATATACCATCAGGTCAGTGATTACCTAAGAGTTTCCTTGATGACAGCTCGCAGGTAAGACATCTGGTCCAGACGTTGTGAGGTGAGAGGCTCCCCAGATGTCAGCACTTGGCTCACCTAGACCAGGGATAAACCATTATAGGAACAGGTCATCAGGTACAGGCTACATGTTTCCAAAATCTAATACATCAATTTACAAAATTATAGAAATCTATTGACTATTCCTCACAAGACTATAGGTACTTGTCTGTTTGAAGGGAAGAAGAGCCCAACTAAGTTCATTTAAAAGTTGTTTGCAGTAAAAATGAATTATTAAAACATTAGTATCTTAAGCTCAAAAATAAATAATAACTCAGTAAAAAGAAATAATTACACTTACAACTATTATTTGTAACAGTATAATTAGTCATATTAGTAAGTAATAATATTAAAACTATTACAGTATATTCTTATTCAACCTTAACATAAGATCAGATCAATCAAAGCATAAATAGAAGAAAAAAACTAAATAAATCCTTCAATTGTATTTATTTTTTAGATATTTTTTTACAATAGTGTAGGACTATTCTCATACATCAGGCATTTGTAATTATTAAATATTCTTCAATACCAAAGACAAAGTGAATTCTTGGGGAAAGCTGTACATATATCTGAGAACACTTATTCAAGTTATATGATATCCAAGCATAGGAAAATATTGATAATTATTTATACTGAATAAATGGTGCTATCATAATATACCTCATTGTGCAGAATCTCCTGCTTTTCTGGGTGTTGACTCAGCTGGTACAATATGGATGCCACTGCTGCTGAAGTCTGGGAACAGTAAAACTTTAGGACATTACAATTTGTTTGACCAATGTAAATGGTAACGAATGCAGTTTTAAAATTAAAAGGAATGAAAATATATAACCTGTAAGAAAAATAAATTAACATTATTATTATTTTTATTTGAAATAGTGGGCATTTTAGTCCTTCCAGTCTATAAAATTTAGCTCTGAAATCTACACATTAAACTGAAAACTTATAACAGTTAATTGCAAAAATAAGAAATAACCATGTTGATTTGAAAGAAAAGTTTCCCAGTTATAAAAGGAGCAATTCACAACATCATCGATTGAACGTTCAAACAAATATTTGTTGAAGTTGAGGTTTACACACGGTAAGGATTTGTGAAAAGTAGTAAACGCTAGATGTAAGGTGAAACTCTCAAAGAAACACCCAACCGGTTAACCGGATCCAAGAGGTATTCACCACTCGGCCAGTGGTAGACCTAATTGTCTACCACACTAACAGCACTCTATGGATCAAAGTCCAAGAGTATTATACCTGACTAGATTCTTACTGTAACTCTTATGTTGCAGCACATGCCATAGCTTTTGTTTAGTTTTATTCTGATGTAATTGAATGTTTGTTTTGTTAGTTATTTTCACTATCCCACATCAAATAGCAAAGTTTAATTTTATACCCCATATCACCAAGATGTCTCCCTGCACCTTTTACACAGCTTTTGTGTCTCTGCACTCACCTTGCATCCATATTTAGCTTAAAATACCCACCAAAGTGTGCGACGCTATCTTAAAGTAATGATATTGATACTGACCGTGTCAATGCCCACCAGGAACATGTCCATTGCCAGAATACAAGCCAGTCGAGGGTTGTCAGGTTCCTGGGTCAACACTCTCTCTAGTAATGATGACTGTGCTGTGCACTCCCCACCCTTGCCTTGCTGCAACCTCTCTAGTGCTGCGGAGATGTGTTTCATTGTGATACTGAGGAACAGAGAGTGCAACACATCTATACTATCATTGTTGTTTTGTTTACTACCTGCTCTAACACTTTACCACACACTTTTGGATACTGAAAAATACATCACATTTGGACCAGCTCTTGCAAATTTTTTAAAATTTCAAAATAACCTAGTTGAATGACTCAGTAAAATTATATATCCTACTGTACCTTATTTTTTGTTATTGAGATAGTTGATGTAATGTAAAAGATACTATCATAGCCTGTCATCAGTTTGATTTGGTTAAAAAAACGGCTTTATTTGACAGAAATAAGTAACTTACATCAGCGCAATCTGAGGATGGCTCAATTGAACAACGTCTATTTTGATCTAACAATAACTGGCAACAGCTTTAACTTGGGGATGGAATATCTAGCTCTACCAACAGTCAAGAACTTAGACTTAGTGGAATAATGTAATTGATTTATCAATTATGCACAATAAAACTCTTTATCTATCCTTCGGATGACTAGTTCGCCTCTACATAAATAAGTTTATTAATCTTTATTTTTTATTGTATTTTAAGACTTTCAATGTGCTAGATTGAGGTGATAAAGACAAAGATGTTATTTACCTGGTTATAGTGTCAAGAGCTCCAATGTACTTGCGCCAGGTGGGAGTGTTGAATAGTCGCCAGAACGGGACCTTGAGTTCCAACACACCGACATTGTGGAAGAATGTGTTGACTGCGTCTATGAGAGACTGAGTCTCGGGTGAACAATCGTCAAGGCAGCCTAGTCGGGTGTCTAGAGCCACTTGAGCTATGGCTACAACATATTAAGCATGTTGAAGATATATTCTGAAACTACTTGGGCTATGGCTACAACCTAGGTATTTTTCAAATTCTTAATCCATTTGAGCTGTCAAGACTAATTTACAGTCAATGATTTATATCAAAACGTTGTAGTTAGTAACTAATGATGAGTAGGCAACTTTTTAAGAGGATGGTGGCCTCTCTTTTGATGTAGCATTTGCCCGTCCTCAGAGGCATGTATCCAGCAAAGCAAGGGATGAGTCGATATAGTATAAAGTACAAGGGGGGCTTTACTGGTAAAAATCAATGGCAAGTACTAGGATCCGAACCCTTAACTTTGCTGTTATAAATTCAAAGTCCATCGCACCCCCTACTGAGTCACTGACCCACCAATGGGGGTTCTATCTAGTTTCTAAGATCCAGTATTTATGTTTGGGATCTTCTAAACATTGATTTCTTAAATAAATGAATGGTATTAAAATGTCTGGGGAGTCGCTACTGAAATCGCTAAAATTGTTATTTTAACTAATTTTTACATTGTATCAGGCTTTTATACTTAAAAAAGACCTAAAACAAAAAAAAAATTTAATAAAAAATATATTTTTTTATGTGCCCTAAAAATGGGTTTTATTGTTTTTTCGGAACATTTTTAAAATTGATATTTAAAGAAAACCATAAACCTTACACAAATGGAAATTGTATACTTTTGTTCAGCATTAAATTTACTTTAATATCACGAATTTTTATTGTATTACAGAAACATTTACTTTTTTTTAAATAACAGCAAATTCTTAAAATTTGCTGTTATTTAAAAAAAGTCAAGAAAATTTAATCTAGAATAAATCAAAGTGAAATTTTTGTTCTGAATTCTAGGTACTTTTTACAGTTGAGCGATAAAAATAATATTTTTTTGTTACCTATATATAGGGGAGTCGCTACTCAAATTAGTGAAAAATCTTCAAAAATTCAAAATTTTGTTTTTGTTCCTAAATTATTATATATATCTTTTTACATAATAAAAACCACCCAAAATCATTTTTACATACATGTACCTAGGAGAAAAAAAAATAAAACAAACTGTTTTACGGTGCGACAATAGTATAGTATAGTATAGTAAAAATTTTAAAAAATTAAAAAATATTCTTAAAATATTTTTTAATTTTTTAAAATTTTTTGTTAATTTATATATAAAAACAATTTTACCAAATGGATTCAAAATACGTGTTCTTTTAGGTTTTTATATGCAAAAGGTGTGTACAAAATTTCAGAACTGTGGCTCAAGTAGTTTTTTTGGAATATAAAAGTTTTTAGGCTGAAACATGGAAAAACACAACCTTCGGGAAACAGAATATTTCCGGCAAATGTGTTTTACTATACAAAATAATTAGCATTTTTTAATAAAAAACCATTTTTGGTAATTTTTTTTTACAATGCCATGGTAACAAACAAATAAGAATTCAAAAAGCTATAAACTACAATTTATTTAGGGCTAAGTTGTGAATAACATATGCACATACCTTTTTATAAGCCTTTGGTTACATTAGCCTACTTGTCTTTGTCGCACCGTAAAACAGTTTGTTTTATTTTTTTCCCCTAGGTACATGTATGTAAAAATGATTTTGGGTGGTTTTTATTATGTAAAAAGATATATATAATAATTTAGGAACAAAAACAAAATTTTGAATTTTTGAAGATTTTTCACTAATTTGAGTAGCGACTCCCCTATATATAGGTAACAAAAAAATATTATTTTTATCGCTCAACTGTAAAAAGTACCTAGAATTCAGAACAAAAATTTCACTTTGATTTATTCTAGATTAAATTTTCTTGACAAATTATAAAAATCCAAGATACATTGTTGATTTGTTGAAGGTTTGTTTTTAATTCTTTCTCTATATTTAAAACAAGAGGACTATAGTATTGAATTTTGTTATTGGCATTAGCATAGATAAAACATACTCCCTTAGCCTAGCGCACACGAGAGACTTTTTGTGGGTCGACTGTCTGGCTGGAGTAGGGTGGACAGTCGGAAAGTCGTCAAGACTGTTTGGTCGTTGACTGTGCACACGCACACGCCACAACTGTTTAGTCGTCTTTAGAAAGTCATAAGGATGAATATGACAGAAACCGCTGTCATATATACGTTATTGACCAGATTTTGTGCAAGAAAACGTAAAAGAAAATACTGGGTCCATCCAATTTATAGTCAGTGAGCCTTGGAAGACCAGTTTTACCTCTTATACTCGGATTTGAGGAAATATGCGGACAAATTTTTCATGTACTCTCGAATAAGTGTTGGTAGTTTTTAATATTATGTCTGAATACTCTTTTCAAAGACTTTTGTAAAGAGGGGGCCGGGCCTCCACTTCATCAATAAGTTTATCAACTTTTTTGTCTCGCAAAACACTTTCACCTGTCGCAGCCATTTGCACTTGAATGTCTGCGTTGCACACACAACTAAACTCTTGTCAGACTGACAGACTTTTTAGTCGTCAGTGTGCGCGATCAAACTTGTCTCTATGCCTTTATCAATACGACACGACAGTTGAGTCGGGGAGGAGTCGGCAGGAAAATCGGTCAGCCCCAAAATGCCCAGACTGTCTGCCTGCAGTCGGCCCATGTGCACGCTCAGATTTACCACCATGGGGCCGACTTTGACTCCTGACTATGACAAAATAGTCGGCAGAAAAAAAGGCCTTAGTAGGTTTCTCATCCTTCTGGAACAGCCGAAGCAAATTTTATTGTTAGTTCTGTCTGGTGCACTATAGGAGGTTGTGTTTTGTTTACAATTTGTTTCTTGTTGTTACAGTCATTAAAAACCTCGTTCAACCAAATAAAACGATATAATAATCAACAATAACTCGTTCCCTAGTTATATAACCAAACAGTAAAGCACAAATCATGAAATTAACCCTAAAATAATAGAAACAAAATTTTGTCAACACTAACGATCAGTGTCACTGGACATGAACTAGATACAAAAAACGAGCTTCAAAATTTACAATGGTATGAGAGAATGGGTGAACAAAATCCTAGAGAAGGCGGAACAAGATCGGACGGCAAACAATAGCAGAGACTTTTATCGATCGGTAAGATTTTTCAGAAAGGGTTATAGCCCAATGCCATATGGAATTAAAAAAAAATCTGGGAAACTAGTGATACAGAGCAAAGAAGGGATACAAGGATGGCAAGAGTATTTTAAAGATCTCTCGAATGTAGAAGAATTAGAAGAAGAGGAAGAGGAAACCGAGGAAGTGTATCAAATTCAAAATGTGGAACCAATGGTTCCAGACCCAACAGTACAAGAAGTAGAAAACGCAATCAAGGAATTAAAAAATAATAAAGCTCCAGGAGAGGATTCAGTATCATCAGAATTGATTAAGGCAAGAGGGGCAAGACTAACGAAGGAGATTCACAAATTGCTTCTGAATATTTGGGAAAAAAAGTTATTCCAAACGAATGGAAGGAAGCGATAGTCATTCCTATTCATAAGCAAGGTGACAAAAAAGAGTACACCAACTACAGAGGTATTTCTCTCCTCAACTGCACCTACAAAATACTATCAAAGATTTTACAAAAAAGATTGGAGGAGTATACATAAAATATTATAGGTGAACATCAAGCAGGCTTCACAAGAGGTAGATCAACTACCGATCAAATATTCATACTGAAGGAGGCAATTGCCAAATACTATGAATTCAATAAACCCTTTCTCTGCCTTTTTATCGATTTCTCCAAAGCATATGACTCGATTAGTAGAAGACGACTCTGGAAGATTATGGAAAAGTATGGAATACCCAAAAAATTAATAAACTTATCAAAATCAAGCATATCAGAATCTAGGTGTAAGGTAAGATAAATGGCGAAATCTCAGAAAAGTTTGATGGTTTGTCCCCATTGCTATTTAATTTAGCTTTAGAGGAAGCACTACAAGAAGTAAGACAAACAGAAGCTGGAATTACAACAGGGACCAAAATAAACGTCCTTGCATTTGCAGATGATGTTGCAATTATAGCGGAGAGTAAAGAAGAGCTGAAAGTGCTGGTCACAAAACTCCTAAACCATACACAGAAAGTTGGTTCAAGAATAAATGAAGGGAAAACTAAATTAATGGAGTGTGGGAGAGCAACCCAAATAAACAATGACAACAATATAGAAATAGAAGGGTACGACTTTAAAAAAGTAAACAACTTCACTTATTTGGGAGTAATACTGACGAATAATAATGAAGAAGATATTAAGCTATCGAATACTATCACACAAAACAAAACTCTGTATATATAAAACCATTATAAGACCAGTTCTGTTATACGGCTCAGAAAATTGGGTGTTAAGAAAAAAAACAGAAAAACGTTTGATAGTATTTGAGAACAAAATATTGAGAAAAATATATGGTTCAACCTTTGAAGATGGAGAGTAGAGGATAAAACACAATGCGGAGTTGAGGCAATTATATATGGGCAGTACATACTGGCCGAGGTGAGAGGTAGGAGAATGAGATGGGCTGGCCATTTACTAAGGAAAGAGGATGACTCCCTAGTCAAGAACATCCTTTTGAACAATCTGGAGGGCAGAAGACCACCAGGAAGGCCCAAGTTGAGATGGCGAGACCAGATTAGAAAAGACCTAAGAAGACTGGGAAGAAGGGAAGAAGAGGCAATGGATAGAAAAATCTGGAGGCAATGTGTTGGCGAGGCAAAGTATTACCTTAGGTACCAAGAGCCACGGCAGTAAGTAAGTCAGTATGAGAAGTCTACTTACTTGTGTTGGTTATTCTATGACATTAGTCAACATATTGAATAATGTTACGCTCTGTGATTTATACTTACATTCTAATGACCATTTGTGAATCTCATTTAAAAAATCATCAGGCATTTCCATGGATGAATCTCTTATCGTTCGAATCCTGAAAAAGAATGTTCTTATAGTAGCCTTGTAAAAACTAAATATAAAAATTTACCATTAAAAACAGACTACACTTCAGTGTGATATGTCAAAAATTATTTGTTATTGTTGAAATCAAATTTTTCACTTGCTCTTGCAGCGTTTCACTTGTCATAGTGAAGTCCCCTGTTGATTTTGATGGCTGTGTTCAAACCTACTACCTGAGGAAGAGGGTAGAGGCGCAAGGCTGTAGTGTCTAAGCAAGCGGCACAGACCTCACCTTCTGTACAATGTTCCTCTTTGTTCATCAAGCTCTACTTCGGCCTGCACTAGATAGCCATTTTTGAAGGCAGGCAGCATCTGCCCAAGTGTCCTCCTATTAGCATCTTCTCTTCTGACCTTGGAGTGTTATCCACCAACAGTGCTAAAGCCTTGTGGACTGTCTTCTCACTTGTTTGACTGCTCCCTTATCTTCCATTTAAGGAAAACATTAAAATGTGTGGGCTTCTGGAGGCAGACTGACTATATTCACTCAATTAAGCACCATCATCACTTGAAGCACAATTATCTATGCTGTGTATAGCTTTGATGAGTTCCTCAGTGTTAGATGGGACTGAACACTTCCACCACAGGTTTGGGGAAATTAAGAGCAAATTTCCAGGCTCATGCCCTTGGGTAGTGGCATCACATTCTTATCCTCTCCAAAAGCTCTTCCAAAATCCGATATTACTAAGAAACTGTAGAATTTTCTTTTCCCACACGTTTAACAGACTGTTGATTTTCTTCTCATTATGCATTCTTGCACCAATAAATTTGAATTGTTCTTCATCAGAGTACAAAATTAGTTCCCTATACTCTGGTCTCTCATTCAAATTGTTGTAAGTTACCTCATAATTTGCCAAGAACAAGTCTTCTCTGGTCCATTACTTGACGATGACTTCATGGTGTTTTCTGTTATGAACAAGCCACAGAGGTCAAGTTTGTATAAGGTGGATGGAAACATTCAAATCATCCATTTTCTTGGAAAAGACTTGTTTGCTACATTGGAGACTTGTTGTCACAGTGTTGTTATCAAAGTGCCGACCATTGACCACTTGATTAGATGAGGAAGGGAGGAAGAAGAGGTAGTCTCTCTCTGTCTTTGAATGGCGAAATACTAAACTAATATTTTTTTTTTATAAAACACATTCATTACGAGAAAATGTGCTAATGCTTACTTTTCTGTTTACTTATCTTCAAGTGAGACTTAATTTCTCATGAAGGAATTGTTTTAAAGATTTACCTATCACTTTTCACTCTATTAAATTGTTATATAAGTGCAATTCGTACAAACTCAAAATTTTAATATCAAAGCAATAATCCTTTTAGTTAAAATTATTATTGTATATGGTTCAAGAATAGCCAATATAAGTTAGAAACACATTAAGTAGTTAGTTTTTTCACCTGTCAATGAATGCTTGAGCGGTCTGTTCGATAGGAGTTACATAGAGCTTTGCTGTTCTTGGTTGCAACATTGGCTGCTGTACTCTGGTACGGAACCTGTACCACTGTTCTCCATGCCTATGGAGTGGAAACGCAAACATCAGTTCAACATAAAAACAATATCAGTAAGTGAATGCTAGAGAATGCAAGGCCCAGAACCAAAATGATAGCAAAAGAATGTGGAGAATGAATTTATTTGATGGAAACAATTATGAAATGGTCTTACACAATAATCAAAGAGAGGGATTGAAAAATATAGGAATAACTAGATGCTAATGACAAAGGCACTTTGAATGCCAGTGCCAGTGCGAACCATGGGAGGGTTTCAACATAAAATTAGGTCTAATTCCATCTTATATTTATGCAAAATTGAAGCTCAATTGGTTTATTCACATTGGTTTTCACGAGATTGCCCATGTGACATTTTCACAAACACCCAAACTCTCACATTTATAATATTAGTAAGATAAGATAAAAGATCACAAAATTAGCACTTTCTCATGTTTTCACTGCTTGTGGAAACTGAACATGAGATGAATAAAAGCCTTTCATTGTTAACTATAAATCACAACCACTCTTCCTTCTCTTCAACCAACAGGGCTCCTTACATTTAAAAAAGTAGCAAACTACCACCCTCCGCTCATCTGTATTAATTTAAATCTAGAACTACTTTCTTGATTTGAAACCTATAAAATCTTGCCCTTGAACATTTGAAACTCACACAGCTATCACCCCAGCGTCTTCACCAAAGAAGTCCTTGCGCAGGACATGTTTGTAGTAGTTGAGGGAAGGCATGGACGGTCTGTGAGGCATCAGTTCCTCACTGCGGAACACTCGCTCTATGTCGTCTGCGTCAAACAAGAACACCATGTCTGGCCGGCCAAGCAGTCCTGCCAACTTGACTATACGACCGTACTGTCTGTGTAACTGTTGGCACACCTGGTCTATATGCTCGATACTGTAGTTACCTGAGAAAGTACACATAGTAAAACATTGGGGTGTTTCGTGTTCCAATTTAAATAAAAATCTTAAATTAAGAAATGTAACAGAGAGCATTTTGTAAGAGAGAAGATCTTTTCCTTTGTTGAAAATGGTATCAGTGACAGTGAAATATTCTAATGTTTTGTGCTTATAGTGTACTTGTGTGTCTCTTGTGCCGGTTTGGACTCTTTCCCATTCAGTTAAGCCTACTACGCTCACAAAAGTTTTTAAATTAAATATCTTAACTATAAGATTAAAAGCTCTAAAAAGAAAAATACCATCCAAACTTTCATATTTTCCGTTCTTATATTCTTTGAACAGTGAACAAATGAATCTTGATTGTGGTTCAATGAGATAACAAATGGAAGGAAACATATTTTTTTAGATAACTGAACATATACTGAATGGCTTAAAAAAATAACCTTCTTAAATCACAAATAAAAAAAACTCAAACAATTATGTAAATTGGTTTGGCATATTACTTAAAAAAACCTGTCACAGGACAGGCAATTCAAAACATGTTTTAAAGTAAAATGTACACTTCAAATTGGTTGACAGAATTGAGGTTTACAGGAAATTATAAGGAAATGTTTATTGCATCTCACCTAAGTGTGCTGTGTTAACTAAGTGGTAAAGGCCTTTTCACACCGGCTTCCTGGACGTCCCGGACGTCCTTACGTGGTGCTTCCCGCCACTATTCGCACCCCGCGTTATCTGCAGTGTGTTTACTGTTTGTTGTTGCTGGTGTTTTGTGCGTTGTACCAGGCTAATACCATGGAAGCTAATACCATGGCTAATACCAAGGAATATAATAACACTAAGTCATCGTCACTGTCACCACTTGATTCGTCCATCCATGGAACAGTAAATCCGGGCTCACACCAAGGAACTAGCAAAAAAGACATCTTAGCACGGGAACTAACAGACTTAAACACTGAGTGAGAACTGCACTTGACTGATCACCTGTCCATGAGTCATGCGCAAACAAGTGGACGTTTGAAACGTCGCTGGGCGGTGTGAAAGAGCCTTAAACTTAGTATCTTGGGTGATTACAGATTTTGTTCTAGTATTCTTATGTTAATACAAAATCTTTAAAATAAATTTTTTTTAGTTTTTATTTTTTGTGTCTTTTATGGCAAAAAAGTTATGATTTATTTATGCAAATTAAATTACCTTATAAAAAGAAGAATTTATCCTATATCTTTATAAGCATATCTAATTTTTATGTGAGTTTTTTTAGGTAGATAGAGTTCTCATATTTTACCTGAGAAAGGTAGGTGTTAAGAAGCTTTAAAGATACACAGAAACATCCCACATAACAAAACTCTGATATTTGCCAGGACTTCTTCTAGAGTAGGTTGATAAAAAACCAGTATTGTTTGTGAGTTTTTTGTGTAAACCCTTTTCATTCACTGGTATGTTAACTGAACCAACACTTCCTTTTCCCAAAACATTCCCAATTTAGCTACCTACAAGTATTTCTTGAATTATACTTCAGTAATGATTAAGCCCATTATTTAAGTAATCACAAATTAAAGAGTTGTCTACTCTTTAACTTGTGCTGTAACATACCTATGAAGGGCATGAATCGCCAGTTGTTGCCCAGCAGCGGCAGTGGCGCAGGGCCGGGCATCTCCTCGTAAGGTCTAGCACTGGTGAACTCATCAGTCAGTGAGAGGTCCTCCACAGCTGACGACTTTGTGCGAACTTGCACTTGGTTCAACCTTGCCACTTGCTGCAACGTTCCTGATATCCTCTTCAAGATGCTCGCTTGTTTCATGTTTCTGTAAATTGTAAAATTAGTGATACATGATTCACTTTCGCAATGGTTGTCAACGTCTTAGTGCTTGCCTTTAAATCTAGAGGCTGCCGGTTCAATCCTGAGAGATGTATTACAGACCTAGATCCAATTTGTCATTTTGCTTTTCAAATAATGATGCCATATTTAAAAATTGACATTATTAAAGCTATACCGGTAATCCATTCACAAAAATTAGGTGGTTTTTGGGGAAGAAATCTATATTCTCTCTACATGATCCTACCTTTGAAACAATTAATAGCTCAACAGCTGAGAGGTTTGCCAAAACGCCAATCAGCTCCAACATATTATAGCAAAAAAGTAGTGGAGGAACTTTGCTTTAAACCTCCTAAATTTTGTGAACTGCAACTGAGTATAGTAAAAAGACCAGGTTTTAGACCGTTCTATTGACAAACTGTAAAATTGCCAATGGCATTGGGTAGTGCAACAAAAATAAAATATGTAAAATATGAAATTATCAAACAGAGTCACTAAAATGATTGAAATTAAGAGAAAATATTTATCTTTTGAAGTTTGGTAGTAAATAAGTTATTCTTCACGATTAGAAACATTGTAAATAATCATGTGAGTAGCTGATGGGCTTAGTAAAACCTAAGGTTAAACACTCATCAAGCCTTTATTTATCATCCTTATGAATCTGCTTAGGCCATTTTAAAGGTTCTTTTTGTTTCAGGATGAATTTTCTATTGTGTTTACTGTTATGTTAACCAATATTTTATTTTACCATACTATCTGCATTAATTACCAGTATGATATTAAATTAAATTTAAATCACAAATTTAAGTTAAATTCATGATTGTCACTGATAATAAATGCTCAATTCAGATTACAGTATTCTTTGTACTCTTAACAACCTCAGGCTATTCATTGTTGTAGTTTCTTTGTTCTAGCTATGCATAATGGTTATGGTTGTTGGTCAGTTGTAAATAAAGAAGTCAATGAATACAAACTAGTCGCCCAAACCGACATTACCATCTGAAAGAGGATGAGTTGTTGAGAAACAAAAATGTGTGACAAGATAGAACAAAGACAACAACGACCAGCCTGACACTAGTGACAGGAAGGTAACTACAGTGAATTATCACTAAATCTATAATGAACAGATAACTAAGTGTGGTTGTAGCACAGAAAATATACTACTATTACCTGACCCATTCAAGTAATTTTTTGTGTTTTCACTTTGTGTAATGTGTATACATGAATCAAAATAGTTTGTCATGAATACAAAATTGAAAACAAGACAAGTTACATAATAACAGCAAATTCAATGGTTCTGGAAATAACTTTATTTTAAATACATTATTTATGAGATATTTGTATTGATGATATTTTATATGTTTTACGGTATACTATTTTTTTACTGCAGAGCGTGTGAAATGATGTATTTATAAATGTTCCAAAATGAAACTTTCTTGTTTTAAAGGTACCTATCAAACTAAAAAAATGTTGTGTTTACAAAAACATTTTCTAATGTGAGATAACTGTAATGATTTTTAATCTTTGAGAAATTGTTTTTTTTTTTATTTAAAGGGCTATGTTTTAGTAAATTCCTTCATGTCAACCTTAGTCACTAACAAGACTGCAAGATCACTCACTTATCCTACACTCATTCCAGATAATACTTGGCATAAAATACCTACATTCGTATGGTCGCCATTTTAGAATAAAGTATTAAGAACATTAAAGCATATAGGGAATAGGCTTGATGGCGAGATAAAGCACAAAAAATGAATTTAAAATTAAGATTGTACGCTGATTGAAGTGTCGTCTGCAAAAAATGATGTGTTATCTTGATTTGTTTATAATTTGGATAAAACCCTATACATTTTGCACCTCAAGTTACCTTCGTTACAATTTAAACAACAATTTAAACGTTGAGTATACACGTATTCTCAATATGGTTTATTTTAAAACATCACAACGATTTAAATACCAAACATCTTACTCTATGAAGCATAAAATCCTGTTTCTTATTCTACTGTCTTATTTCGAACGATTTAAATAAATTGTTTATTGTATTTTGAGCACACACGTTTGAAATGACACTGGACAATAAACCATACTTTACTATTACCTTTTCATACGAATTGATAATAACTAAAGTGAAAATAATATGTAGATTTTTCTAGAATTAACAGAATTTTCATTTTGTGAACAGACTATAACTTAGTTTTTAAAATTACGTTTTTAAAGAAAATGTTTGTTCTATTTACAGTTTTTGGATTAAGTTATTATGTTTTGTTTTTAAATTCACTCATAGAACATTCAATTTAGTTGTTATGTTAGATATAGTTCATTTAAAGTATTTTCGTCCAACATAACACTTTTAAACGGCAAAAAATATCTCAGTTTTTGTATATACAGTAGTAAGGAAATTTCTTACTTCTAAACAAACTAAAGTCGTATTCGAGAGGAAACAGATAAGAGTTGATTCTCTGATTTGCGACCGCTATGAAAGTGGCACTTTCACATATAGCTATTAGGATTCTTGATGTAATTATAAATGTCTCTGAACTCTTAAAACTACAACTAAGGCCTACCAACACCTCTTGATCGGCAGATTGGCTCTACTTACTGATATCGAAGACTAGATGTTATTAGAATACTTGATGATGTTTGTTATGATAGAGGTAGATAAATACACACTTCAGTACGCGCGTACTCACAAGAGAAAGGCAGTCAGGATCCACGACGGCCTACATAGACAGACTGTCGTCCTTCGCGCAGGAAACTACTTTCTTCTCCAATCTCCATTCTCCACTGAATCTCCCCCCCCCCCACTCATAAACTGTCCATCAGGGCCCTGTTTCATAAAAATACTAGTCTAGTAATTACTAGTCTAGTAAATACTAGTCCCGTATTTACCTGTCCTACTAATTTCTGTTTCATAATAGTATATTACGTTACTAGTCCTGAAAATAAGTGTTTACCGGACGAGTGTGGTCGTTCCCGTGCGAGACGAAGTCGAGTACGGGATTACCATACGAGTCCGGTACACACATTTTGGACGAGTTACGTACGATAGTTTACGCCATACTACGTAATGCGTACAAATCCTTATATATTTCCACCAACTAAAGGACTAAAAATCACTAGTCATGAGAGGTTATGTTTTTGTTTATAACCTTTATAACCACTAATTGCCACGAAAATACAGTATAATCAGCTGATTGGTGTCCGGTAAAACTCATTGCAGAACAGTATTACGCAATGAAACCCCATTTGAATAAGCTGGCGGCAAACAGCTGTTTTCTGGACTAAATCCTTGCGTGGAAAGTTCATCAAAATAATGTAGTGTGGCGTAAACGTTTTTATACCACTAGTAAATACTAGTGAATTTTACTAGTCACGTGGCCAAAACTACTAGTCACGTGACCAACTTTACAAGGTAAACTTTCAAAACAAAATTCTAACCTCAATCACGGGTTTTCAAACCCTTTATAAAGGGTTTTAATTTTGTTTTCATTTGATACAAAAAGTAAATAGTTGTAGAAACGCAGTGTTTTCTTTTAATTAATAACTATATAGACACATAAGTAAAACAATCACACATTATTTATCAAACCGCTATTATTTATGTTCATCAATGAACCCGCCGAAGCGCCGGCGCGGCGCGGCGTCGCGTCGCTGCAATCAACACGGTGATTGTAGTAGCCGGTTGTAGGCCTAGTTGCGGCGCTCAACAGTTGGGTGGAAGTTGATCTGTTGCTGCCGCATTCGCTGTGATTTGTATAGTTTTTGTTTTATTCTGACATATAAAATTAAGCTTGCTATGAGTAAAGAAAAGAAATCTCAAATTTTGAATGTAATTAAATCATCTAAGGACATTTTGTTTATTGGAACGGTTTCAAGTACCCTTACCTATGTTTTCAAATATTCGAATGCATAAGGATATTTGGGTTAAAAACCATTTGGTGATATTCTAATTTTGAGTCTACAAACCATGAATAATAAGCCTAAACGTTTATTGATGCAACAAAAAATTGCAACGCCGTTACAAGCAATGGAGAAGAAGGTTTTCAAGTACTGTATAGTAAAACATGGCATAGTCGTTACGGCAGGGCTTAGCTCAGAGGCAGGTAGAGTTCTCGCTAGTCATGTGGCGGGTCCCTGGTTCAAATCGTGCCACTCATTATACTTTTTATTCCATTAATTAAACTTTTACATGTTTTTACATTAAAAAAACATGATCAACATCTAATTTTTTTATTACTTTTAATAACAAATTCAGAATACCAAAATAGATTAAAAGTAATGTTTTTATGATAAGCAGTTCAGTTCAACGCCCAAAAATCAAATATAGGCCTACAAAATTGTTAGTACATCACAGGGTTTTAGCTATTAAGAGAAGCAAATAATAAGCACCTCAAAAATACAATGCAACTCCTCTTTAAAAGTGTCTTACTATTATTTCCTATTCAAATGTCTTTAAATAAAACCGAGAGCCTTGGGTGTAAAATTATCTGATTAATGTTGCAATGTTGGATACATTTGTTACATTTTTGTATGCAATACGGTATGCGGTTTTAATTTGGTTTCTCTCAAAGCTTAAAATTCTTTTCTCTGTGATAGCTAATAGTTGATATAACCATGAAATTTAACTAAAGTAAAATTAGACTAAAATTTCACAGAAATTGATAACTTATAATTATAATTAATTCTAATAGGGCGATTGTACATACATTATACAATTTTATTTCTCTCATTTTGTACTACGCCTCATTTATTAATTGTAATTTATATAAAATAATTATCATTTTAGCAAACACAGATCTATTTTTATCTTAAATTGCAAACGTGAGCCAATTTGCACTTGCAAAAAGAACTTAATAATAATTTTTTTTTTTATGATGTGAGTAATGAAATAATTCTCTTTCCAAAAAATACTAGTCTACTTCAAATAATACGGGTGTAGAGAGGTTGTTAGAAAATGGCAAGTATTTACCAGTGTAATTTACAAGAGTAAAACTTTATGAAACACATTGCTGTCTACACTAGTAAAAACCACTAGTAATACTAGTCCCTACACTAGTAACTAGTATTTTACACTAGTAGGTTTTTGAAACGTAGACTTGTAAAATACACTAGTATTACTAGTCCATGGACTAGTAAATACTAGACTAGTAGTTTTATGAAACAGGGCCCAGATGTCTTTTTGGACCAGAGTAATTTTCATATTTTTGTATGAATAAACTAAAGTAATTGTACGATTTTTGTTGTTAAAGTAGCCTATGTCTCTCCCGTTCATATCTTACCTAGAGACCTACGGTAATAACTAAATACCTAGGTCTGGGAAATTTGCTAAAAGTAACTTCCGTAAGGACTAAGGAGTACGAGTATAATAAAGTCATGCTCTTTAGGATCATACCATATATAGGTATGGAGTTAGAATAATTAAAAATTAAAGGAACATACTCTGTCACTTAAAACTCTTCGGGTGCACGGCAGACGAGAGGGCTTCGAACTTTTCGACACATTGTTGTCATCATGCAGTTTAATCCTGACTTAACTGTAAATTTATTGTTTTAATACTACTGTCCATTAAATTTTTTATCCTGTAAATATAAATATTCATCAAATTCTTATATATTGTGAATAAATTTTAATTTTGCAAAACAGAATAAAATTTTGCATTCTGATTGGCTTAGCTGCTAATTCCTTTACTCTTTCTTTACAATTATGGCCCCTTAACTTAAGCTTTACAAATGGTATGTGAGTTACATAACTTCCATGTGCTAACAAATTCCAAGGTCTGGTTCACACATGGTGAGGTAAACTGACAACGGTAAACGGTTAGTGGTGCAATAGTCTATTGTCTTTATTTTTATACAGGGTGTTTGTGAACTCTCTCGAAAAAATTCACAGGATTATTCCTTGGGTTAATATATGAATATTTTACATTATAAACATGGGTCGCCGGAGCCTCGTTTTCCGTCTGTCTGTCTGTATGTGTTTTTAATAAATAACCTTATAACTCGAGTTTGAATCAAGGTACAAACTTTAAATTTGACACACTTGTGTATTTTAACGTGGTACACAAACATGCAAAATTTCATTTCGATGACTATAGCCGTTTCAAAATGGCGGCGATCTAAAATCGTTGACCTCAAATTACATGAAAACCACTAGAGTTACAAAAAAAATACAAGAATAAAAAAATTTAGGAAATTTTATGCCAAATCAAATGACACCTAGATCTTAAAGATCGAACAACAAACAGCTGAGTTATAGTTTTTTTTTTAATAATTAATAATTTTTTTACTGGCTTTTAATTGTTATTGTTTATTCTTTAAAATCATCTGATACAGAGTACATTACGTAACCTTAAACACATCTCAATAGTTAAGGTAAAAATAGGACACTTAATACATTTACCTTCTAGTAAAAAAACTAAATGTTGTTGTTAGGGCAAACCAGCTGTCTTACATTGTTGTAACAATTTAGAAAGGATCAGATGATTTTAAAGAATAGACAATAACAATTAAAATCCAGTAAACAAATTATTAATTATTAAAAAAATTAATAACTCAAAATAATCATGTGATCATCTCAAAATCATCTGTCCAACCAGCTGTCTTACATTGTTGTGACAATTTAGAAAGGATCAGATGATTTTTAAGAATAAACAATAACAATTAAAAGCCAGTAAAGAAATTATTAATTATTTAAAAAATTAATAACTTAGCTGTTTCTTGTCCGATCTTTAAGATCTAGGTGTCATTTAATTTGGCATACAATTTCCCACATTTTGTTATCCTTGTGTTTCTTTTGTAACTCTAGTGTTTTTTACGTAATTTGAGGTCAAAGATTTTAGATGGCCGCCATTTTAAAACGGCTATAGTCAACGAAATGAAATTTTGCATGTTTGTGTAACACGTTAAAATACACAAGTGTGTCAAATTTAAAGTTTGTACCTCAATTCAAACTCGAGTTATAAAGTTATTTATAAAGAACACATACAGACGGACAGACAGAAAACGAGGCTCCGGCGACCCATGTTTATAATGTAAAATATTCATGTATTAACCCAAGGAATAATCCTGTGAATTTTTTCGAGAGAGTTCACAAACACCCTGTATTCCGTACCTAACAGTTTACAGCAATTTAATTTTGATTGGCATCATTATGCTGCACAATGATCTTTATGTACAGTAAAAAAAGTAATAAAACTATTCATGAATGAACAATTTGGTAATGCAAGAGAAGGACATACATCGATGATGCAGATAAACAGACTTATACACGAAGACATACAGACAGACAGACTTATACGCTTATAGTGTTCAGAACTTCCAGGCCCATTTTGTGGATTTGTTCCTTGCATCTAGGATCAAGAAAACATTTAAAAATACAAACTTAACGTAGAGCGCAGTAATCTGTATGTCTGTATGTACTTGATTTTTACTAAAATCTCAATAATATGTGAGAGAAATTTAGGCTACAAACTTCATCTAAGCATCTTTGATAAGTGTTCAAGCAAAGACACTTGTAAATGTCAAATTTAACGTTTTTAACCAGGCCTACGGTAGACCTGGTATACCTTGTTTAAAAATGGTTTATCTTCAAACATTTTAAAAGCTAACTAAATTATCTAAAAAATAATGCTTATGTAAAATAATATAAAAATAATTATGACAGTTTTATTCTGAATGCAAATCTTTGAACACCTTAATTATATCTTACTGAATTAATCTCACTCGAACTGAATGATAATTAACCAACTTATAACACTTTTAAGTATATAATAAAACTGAGGTTATTATTTTTAAGAACCCTCTTTATGTCTAAATTAGGACATGGTCAAAGATCACAAAACACTTTCCTAATGTTGATGGATTGCCCTAACTTTACTCAGAACTTCTATAATGAAGGAAATAATTTATTAATTAAATACATCTGCCTTTATAATAAGGTTGTCAAAATTGTCTCATCATTGTTTCATAATATTGTGTGGCTGAATGAAAGTAGGTTGACTGTATAGTACGACCATTCAACGTAGGTATTTTTACTAAGACCATCCAGTCTAGTTGTTTATTTAGCAAGATCCATCAAAAGCCCAACAAAACAATGATCACTGATGATCCGGTTTTAAATCAACAAGAAGCTACTGAATGTTGTCAGATACCTTATGTATGTAACCACATAGTATGGTAGGTAGTAGTGTTTGCACATCTATGCAGTTAATCTCGGTAGAGTCAAAAACCACTTTAGGAATCCCAGTTCCAAAATTAAGAGATGCTATTGGGTTTTTTATAGCCTAGCTTGCATTTTATATCCAATTTTTGGGGTTTGTTCAGTAGGTATACTTATTTAATAATTCCTTGCAATATGTTTTTAAATGTCTTTGTTCTCAATACACCACAGTATACAAATATAGTTTGAGTTTTACTATCATATGTTTAATTATTGAACTTGTTTATTTCCTCTTCCTATAAATAGTAGGAGAAGGTATTGTTGTTGTAAAATTATCGATTTTATTTTTTGGGTGGAAAAATCTATTTTGGATCCTCCTGAACCCAAAAAAGTGGCTCTCAAAGTGACGTCTGTGTACAATTTTGAGGATTTTGGTTTGTGGGTACTTATACTTATTGATAGTATCTCCAGTTTATTTTTTATTTTTGGAATTTTGATTTTCAATGAATGGAAAATCTCATTTACACAAAATAAAAACAGGTCTAACAGTTTTGATTGAAGTATATAGTATGTTACAGTCCTTTTAACTCCGAACATGCCACAAGCCCCAAAGTTTTACAAAAGTTATTGCTGCTTTTCTCCATAAAAGCTCATATTTACCCGTACACATAAAAATAGTAGGATGTTCAATTATAATGCCAGCTTATGGGAGAAAGAGAAAGTATAAGTCAGTTTGATGATGCCATTTTTCTTGCTATAGTTTGACTTCAGTATACTGTATTAGCCTACCCATTTACTCTTCACTCCCACTATTATTTCTTTCTACCTTTGAAAATACAAGACCACTGTTTATTGTCACACAATAACCTTCACTTGTGTTCTGTGTATTCTTAATAAAGTAATCACAGTTAATGTAAATTTTCTTCACTTTTTCAAGCTGAAGAAATTAATAGGAAAATTATAAAAATAAAATATTTTTAAAAAAGCTATACATTTTCAAAATTTGCATTTTGCAGCCAGGGAATATATCTATACAGGGTGATTGATATAAGTGTGCCAGCCGTTTTATTCGTAAACTATAAGAGATATCAAAAAAAGTTAAATGGTAAGTGCCTTGGATTTTTTATTTGAAAAATTGTAGTCATGTCGAAAAAAATATTTTAGCCGCCAACTTTGATTTTTCTTATAGAACTCCCTGTATTTTATGATGTGTTCCGGTAGAAAATGAAATTTTAAGACGATTTTATTCTTGTAATTTTTTTCATAAACCTAACCGTTTCAAACATAATAATGGTTAAAGTTTTTAAATTTCGGCATGAGAAAGAGTTTCGATAAAGGCCTAAGCAAGCATGCCAGCTGTTTTATTCAAAAATTATTCGAAATTTCACCACTTAAACCATTATTATCTTTGAAATGGTTAGGTTTATGAAAAAATTACAAGAATAAAATCGTCTTAAAATTATTTTTTCTACCGGAATACATCATAAAATACAGGCTGTTCTATAAGAAAAATCAAAGTTGGCGGCCATATTGGAAAAATGGCGGCTAAAATAATTTTTTCGACTTAACTACAATTTTTTAAATAAAAAATCCAAGGCACTTTCCTTTTAACTTCTTTTGATATCTCTTATAGTTTTCGAATAAAACGGCTGGCACACTTATATCAATCACCCTGTATACTTTAAACATAATGGTTTTAAACAGTTATAGGTATCAATCTAGTTGTAAATTCACATTTTTTTGCTTTAAAGCTGAGTATAAAATAAATATTGAAAAGAGGACCTGATATTTTCTTTACTGTACTAACAGAGTGAAAATGCTACATCTGTAAAAGATGAGAACAACTTTTATGATAGAGAGTTCCAGGAAGCTAGAGGAAAATCTATTTCACTGAAGAGTTTTTTTGGATTGTACCTATAGATTCATCTTGAGTTCTTCACTTTTATTTTCAATTTTAGGACAAACATTGCCAATTTACACAAAAAGGGGGAAATATGGTGAATTAATTAAACACAGATTTGCAGTAATATTTATTTACATACAAACAAAATATTTAAAATACCCCCGCCGCAGCACACCTGCAGACTAAGCGAATTTCAACTTGTCTGATTACATTTTTACTAAAATATTTCCATAACTAAGACATATTTATTCCGAATTTAAATAACATTAGATTTGCTGCTACGGGGAAGGTAAAAAGTTTTTTTGACCATATGTCAATAGTATAGATGAAATAAATAAATTTGCCAAATTTTATCAATATATATCCACAAACAAGTAAAACTACAATAATGGGAAAACCCCATTTTTACCCCATAAAACTCCCCATAAACCCCTGTTTTCCCATGGTCTGTTTATGCTGGTTTGCGAACTCGTTTGAATAAACGTAGGTTTACACGTTTGTACCAAATTTCATCAAAATCGGATCATTCTTGCTCGAGTTATCGCGCTAAAGGACACACATATACAGAGTGACAAAAAAGTCTGGAAACGGCTTAATATCTTTTTACCTAAATCCGTTAGAAAATTCATTCCTTTCACATAAACTTTCATGAATGAAAACTACTTTTTGCAAGCATTACCAATTTTTGGCCCCTACCAGGGGACGACCCACGAGGAGTAGGTACTTAAGCTTTAATGTAAGCATAGGTCGGTAGCATATGCACATCATTTTAAAGGGCTCAAGGTCAAGTGGAGTTCATTGCCGGAAACCGTAGCTAAAAAGGTTCATCCGTTAAAAAATGGGGGACGTCCAAAGTTCTTGTGGAATATACCTGCACAGGCCTTAGTATTGGTAAATACTCGTAGTCAACATTAGCTTAAGAGCTGAAATTGACATTTAAAGTAAACTATCTCATTGAATAATACTATTCAATATTCAAAACAAATTTAACCGGGTTTCAGCTTTTTCGGCTAATGTTGACTACGAGTATTTGCCAGTACTAAGCCTGTGCCGGTATATTCCACAAGAACTTTGGATAGCCGCCATTTTGTAACAGATGAACCTTTTGAGACGCGGTTTCCGGCAATGAACTCCACTTGATCAGCACTTTAAAATGATGTGCATATAGACCTATGCTTACATTAAAGATTATATACCTACTCGTCATGGGTCGTCCCCTAGTGGAGGTCAAAAAATGACAATGCTTGCAAAAAGTAGTTTTCATACACATAAGTTGGTGTGAAAGATTTTAATTTTCTAACGGATTTAGCTAAAAAGATATTAAGCCGTTTCCAGATTTTTTTGTCACCCTGTATATATATATATATATATATATATTTATAATAGTAGCCCTTTATCCAAACAATTGTATATATATGAATTTGAACAGATGGTGTTTTTGGCCTCTAGGGACCTCAAAATGAAATATTAGATCGGTCCCGGGTCCAGGTCTTACCATGAGTACTACGGTAATAGCTTATTCCCTATATGGGAAATTCGCTAAAACAGAAAGAGTTTGATTTGACAGAAAAAACAATTAGGTTACAAAACATTAAAACAATAATATAATTTACTACATTCTTTGGAGTCTGTATTACATATTACAAAAAAGGTTAAATTAATCTAATATTCATCAGGACTAAATACAACAGCTTTGAACTGAGATTTCATGATAATTTAGGTTTAAATATATGATCGATCGTTATGCTATTTACATTTGTTTGATAAATAAATATTTTCATGCACATCTTTTAAAATATTAACTAAGCCCATGCACTTCAATAAACACTTCTATTTATATACTTTAATGTTAAAATGTTAAAAATACAATATAACTTAACATGTTTAATTGTTGTACAAAAATACTTCGAACACATCAAGTTGATGTCATAATTAAAATCTTATTTTAAAACTAAATAAAAAATTACAATTTTAAAAATAAAAGAGTGATTAAATATTCAACAATAACAAAATAAAAATATTAAAGATACTTTACAAAAAATCACACCAAATTGTAGTGTAACACATCTTTTGGCATTTTTAGAGAAGGCCTTGTATTTTGCTTCTCAAAAAATAAACCATCTTAGTAATACTTATTTCAATAAATTGTTGGTACACTTTCTAACAATTTCAAGATACATTCACCTTACTGACCTTTAAACGTAGCAAAAGTGTGTACTCAGTAATACTATGTTTCTTATAAAAACGTTTGTGGGTGTGTGTGTCATTATAGATAAACATCATTACATTTTGTTACAGCTTCTAAAAATAATATCTTATTTTTTAAATATTACAATGTAAACTTGTAGAATTAAATTTGAAAATTCAAACTTTTGTATACAATCAATAAATGGGTTTAGTAAACATATAGAATTAACATAATCCCGAGACCCGAGGATTAAATAGATATTTTTCTAGTTTAGGAAGTCAAATGTATTGTCGTCAAACGGTTGTTGTGTGTTGGTGTTACGCTGCATCTGTTGCATTCCCATCATCTGTTGTCGATATTGAGGCTGAAACACACATCATCAACACCTTAGACAATTATCACCATCGTCAAACGAAAAACAAAAACAGACATGGCACTGTTTTTACTTTCTCCCCTTATACCATAGTAGGTATATATGTAGAAAGTATTGTTTTCGTCAAAATTTTCGAGTTTTAGTTTTGAGTGGATATATACGTTTTGCAATGTGTTAGGCAATGTGTAGGCGAGGCCAAGTACCACTTGGGGTACCTATGGCCACTGCAGTAAGTAAGTATATACGTTTTGGGTCCCCCTGTGTGTACAGAGATGTGTACAGAGCTACAGACCACACCTGTTGTCTGATTTTGATTAAATTTGTTATGTAGGTACTAATCAATGGTATCTCCAGGTGTTTTTTTAATTTTGATTTTTATGTTGATTTTCCCATAAAAGCCCATAAAATAATGGAACAAATTTTTTTAGAAAATAGCCCAAACAATTACGATAAAAATTATGTTATAACTTAGTCATTTAAGTTCTGAACAAAATGGCACAAATCCCAATGGCATAGTCCAAAAGTTAATGCAGCTTTTGTGATTATAAAAATCATAGTTACTCTCACCGCTTGCCCATGATTAACCCATTGGTGTCAACTTCGAGCATTACTCGTACGGCCGCTGCATATGAGTGCTGCTGGCTCATATCACCGCTACACAGCGCCATTAGTTATTTATTATTATAATTTTCCCCCATTTTTGTTTTTTCTTACTTTTATAATGTTTATAAATATCTTGCTTCTTGTATTGCATATTTGCAGCTGTGGTATATATATATTGTATGCAGCTGTGGTAAGGTAAACAATATCTTATTACATATAAAAGTTCACTACTTGTGATTTTTCTACGTAGGGAATCAATTGAAATTTATAATTGTAGGGTCATTTGGTGTCTGGATTAATCTTGGAATTTGTAAATAAAGTTTACTTTAAAAAAAAATGTTTTTTAAAATTGTTATTGTTGTAATCTTTCTTTTTACTTTGACTATCCACTTTTTTTGTAGACAATTTTAACTGTGAACAAAATGGCAAAAGAATTATTAATTTATTACCTAAGGTTTTCTTTCTATAACAATTAGAGTAAAACTCTAAAAATTCGGTAAAATGAATTGCCGACAGAGGGGGCTGCAGGCAGCGCATTAATTCCTTCCCCAATGGGTTAAGGTTGTTGACAAGCTTATGGGAGAAAGTATGTGTCAGATTGCTGATACCAATATTAAAATTTGTATTGCAGGTTGAATGTCACATGGCTTTCATTATCAGCTGCAAAGTATATGTAAAACGATGCTTACCTATGGTAGCATTAATAGCGTAAAGTGAAAAGTACAGCACTAATTACGAATAATAACACAAATATGTAAAATGGGTGGAATAGGATTTCCTTGTTTCGCTTACATGCAAGCATCACATGTGTTATGCAGACCAGCTAATTCTCCATTGAAAGCATTTGTTGACTACGTGCTCCATACAAGACTAGTATCTGTCTATCCTTATAAAAACTCTGTCAAGGCGCCTAACCAGCCCCAGTCCAGAAACAATTGATTACAGTTCATTGAATGAGTTATTAAGAAGTCCCTCCAGGTGAATGATTTTAAAATCCTCGAACATAAATATATTTGTTATTGTGCTCATTTTTCAACTTTAAAAAGTATTATACATTTTAGAGGTTTTAATATTAACAAATCATTTAATCAAAGTTGTTTTATTATGGTGCGGCTGTGGCTAGATGTTTGTACCTGTTGCAGCAGATGCCTCAGGCCCGGGTTGTTGGACATGGCAGGTCTCATCATCTGTTGTTGGTTGGCTGCCCCTGCCAGCTGTTGTTGTGCCATTCCACCAGCGTTGTTGGACTGTTGCTGTGGTGTGATCTGTCTCTGTTGTTGTTGTTGTTGAAGTTGATGCAACTGTGCTCTCAACTGGTGCTTTTGCTGCTCCTGCTACAAACATTTCATAGTATTGGTTAAAATTTAAAATCAAACTGATATTCTTGGGATTCATAGGAATTAGGAATACATATTAATAATTTCATTGAACATACCCTGTAGACCCTACATTGAAATATAATACTAGATTTTTACTGGCAAGTACCCAAATATTGAAGTATGTACTAAAGTACTAGGTGCACGCTCATTCTTTCCGATTGTGGACGGAACGAAGGCAGTGAATAAGGTTGAGCAGGTAGTAGTAAGGTGGCTAGAGTAAGGTGAGTACACCGTAGTACTCTAGCTGGACGCACAAAGGACTTAGCCCAAGATGTATGGAGTAAAAGAGGTGGGCCAGACAGAGAGCGCCTCTCGCCTATCGAGCCGAGTCGGTGATGTCACTGCAGTCCTCAAGAGTGCAGGGCCGAGTGCCCTTTGCCTAAACACTATGACGAGGGTCATTTTACAGCCTGAAGCATGGCGGGGCTCGTGCCGTCCAGGTATCAGTGACCAGATCCACAGTGGGGCGGGTATGGGGGTGGAAAGATTGACCAGGAGGGGATAAGAAAAATTTGTTTTAGGGATAAAATGAAACTGTTATAACCCAACCTAACCTAACCAAACTTGCTGATTATGAAAAAATTGAATGAAGGTTTACTAATCGAATCGATATAAATTTGCAATCGATATTAGGGTAGCCCAGTTGATAAACTGTACCCGGTCTCCGTTACATCTTGCCCACTACACCCCCTTCCACTAATACCCCTCCGATGAATCACACTTACGCTTGAAAATAAGTTGGCAACATTTAAAGATACTATGACTACGATAAGCTGGTACAGTGTTTCACAGCCTTTGAGTATTGTAACTATGATTTAACCTGTTGTTTCGTGTTAACATTCTATTTTCATTCAACGCTCGGATTTAATCTAACCTAAAACGTGTTGTTTAGTGTTTGAAAGACTAATTATTTATAGGCTTTATAGAAACTATAAGAAAAATATAATATGTAGCACGAGTGCAAAGTGCCTTTGCTGCACTTGTGATACTTTCCACACTCGCCTGCGGCTCGTGCGCATTTCTCTCATGTGCAGCAAAGTGCCACATCACACACTATAATTACACAAATAACTATACCCGTACCACCATACCTTTTGTTATTTTGTACATTCATCTCAATAATTAGGTTCATCTCAATAATTTAGGCCTCATCTCAATATTTATCTCCTAATTGTTGCTGACTAATTTAATATCGTCTAGTGGTATGATTCTTAGTGTTGTTATCAATCAATTATATCAATTATTTAAGATGGGGACGCCACTATGTGCGTATTTTAGCCCAAATATGGGTGAAGAATGAGTGTAGTACGAGTGGCGCGATCTTGTAGTCTTTTTAGTGACTAAGGCCGACATATTCCTTAGACACAGCTGTTAATTAATAGCCCAAACAGCTAATGGCAACTAAGGGACCTACAGTTTATCCAAACCACATTCTTTCCTTGGTATTAACGAATTGGTCTAGGCTAATTATCAGGATAGTACTGCGGATAGTCATAGTACTCACTAGTGCGGACGTTAATACACACCAGGGAGTATCGCCTCTACAGTGCATCTCTATAAATATCCACAACTCGTGACCTCCTAGTAGCTGGACTACAGAACGACGCCACTGTCCTAGTCGTTAAGAGCCTTTCACTCACCACCCTCACATAGCATCATTATTGACACAACTGGCTATCAGCAGGAAATATGTCAAAGTGCAAATACGAATGCAGATTGTGAGCAACTTTTTGATGATATATTAATAAGTTAATACTCTGAAATCTGAAATAAGCAAAAAACTGAAATCCGTGATTCCTTAACTGTGCAAAAGCATCTGGACCATAACAATATGTTTACCTCCATCTGAGACTTGAAGAGGTTTTCCTGTTGTTGAGCCTGTTCTAAGTTTTGTTGTAGTTGCTGGATCTTCATATGGTTGAAAATCTGCAACAAAGCTATGTGTCAACTTTTTTATGATTGTTTAACCTAAATGAAGGATTTTGAATTATTTGTTGATAGATTTGATTTTCCATGTTTTATTTATTTAAATGACGAGCCTATTGTACTTATTGTATTTAATGGCAATAAAGACTTATGACTTCTATTAATTCAATAAACCAAGGCAAATAAGTGTGCCAATTTACAACTCGAGGCACAAACAAAATTTATAAACAAGGTTAATTTAGTTGTGTCAAATTTGGATCAGAGATATCTTTTCTTCATAAGGGAGGCCTGATAATAGGGCTCAACCTTTCTGATATCCGTTCAAGAAAACATCATTTCCAAATCAATCTGGGAATTAACTCTACAGTATTGTAGTTATAAGGGAGTTAAGTTGTCAATGTTTTTAGCCTTAGAATACAAGTTTAACCTTTGTTCAGTAAAAAAAAAAAAAATGAAAATAGGTTACAAGGAATTAACACTGTGAATACACCCACTTGAAGGCTAGATATGTTATTAGAGCAACAGACATCCACAATATAATGTATTATCATGTTTTTTATTCATAATAAATTACGAAATGTTAAAATATAATGTTGCAGTAGAGATTTTAGTCTTTTAGAGGCAAGCAAACTTGGAGTAAGTAAATATAACACACAAACACAGGTAACACCTGAACACAGGAGTTGGTGTCCAGGTAAGAACACAGATTATATCACTGTGAAAGAAAGCAAATATTTTTCAATAAACCAGTTTTTTATAAATTGGGGTTTATTTTTGTTTGTCTAAAATAATGTCCATCAAAGCTAAAATTTAGTCAAGCATAATTTTAGGTTATATTTTAAAGGGACACCTGTTGCCAAGAATCCAACTTAGGCCTATCTGAGAAAATTAGAGTCCAGAGGCTAATAATAGATATACAATAAAATAACCCAAAACATTTCTCAGGTAAGCTAGCTGAATTCTATTCCTTTTCACAAAAATTCCTAAGCATAAATTTAGTCAAACTATCATCCAAACATAAAGAAAAACTTTTATTTGTTTATTTTGAACTGATGTTTAAAACAAAACATAGTTTTAAATTGTTTAACGATGCAATATAGCTTGTGTAAATGATTTTAAATGTGTTCATCACACACATTACCTTACGCACAATATCAATTTATATTTTAGTTTGACTTTAATGAGGAGAAGGGAACAGATCAAAAGGCAAAACTACAAAAATGTAGGTAATAATCCTTACACTCTAATACTGTAATCCAATTGTCTAGCCATATCATAAAACTATCATGGCTTTAAAACCTGAAAACTCTCTTTAATGAAATGTGAGGATTTAGGTAAGTAAGTGAAGTGATTCCAAATTAATTAACTTGTACAGAGAAATTTTAAAACTTGTTTAAAATTTTTCCTTGAACCACCGTTTATTTGTTTTTTTTTTTGCACATTCAAAATGGGCTACTATAAATCCTGCAGCAAAAGATACGCAAGAAACTGACTTCCGCCTCACAAAAAAGCTCGTACATTTTGATAATAAATTAAAGAAAACCAACTAGAGGGTTTCTAGATGTGTCTAGCTATACTCACTTCCATTTGAGACTTGTAGTGTTGTTCCTGTTGTTGAGCTGCCTCTAGCGTCTGTCTGAGCTGTTCTATCTTGACTAGGTTCTGTTTCCTGGCCACCTCCATCTGCTGAGGTCCTGGGTTGTACTGCATTCCTCCCTACAACAGACCATTAGAACTTCACTGTAGTCCTACCAAAGGTTAATAGTGTGACCTAATAGCTATGAAGTACACTAAGAAGTACAGGCCTGCAAGGCAAGAAGTATCCACGTAATAAGATTTCACTTTTTGAACTTGGAAAAAAATATTATTTTTAAAACCTTTCCAGCATTTATCATGAAAGTGCAATGCACCAGTCAAAAACCCCATCTAGTATTAATTGTGTTTATGTGTTCAACATTTTTGTGTAAATTTGTTGAGAGCCCACTGACGTAATGTAATACTATGCCTTTTTTTGGCTTGTGTCTACGTTAGAGGCATTTTTATAATGAAGTCAAATCAAGCACTTTTGAGGGAAAGCAGTCCAAACCCATCAAGTTTTTTCGATGTGCCGGGGATTGAACCCATCCCTTCGGCACCGAAGTCCGAGATGCTAACCACTAAACTGCACATATACAATTTTTGAAAAATTGTTTTGTGAGAGTGATTGGTAAATTCACCGACCTCTAGATGATTTGACCAAACCCTTTCTGTAGGCGTACTGTGGGGTCTGACTTAGGGGAGGTACGATTGAGGCATTAGTTCAAAATTCCTCCGTGAACAACGCTGTAGTAGAGAGCACTTTGGCAATACAGGTTTACTAATAGCAAAAATAGTTCTGTTCATAAAATAAAATGTTAAATGCCTCAAATTCAATTTTGTTATTTTTTAATTATAAAATTAAACTATCATAACCTAACCGAACTAACCAAACTTGCTGATAATGAAATAATATAACAAAAGTTTAGTAATAGAAAAAATAATTCTGTTTATTAAATAAAACTAGAAATTGCTCAATTAAAATTTTATAATGACTTAATAATAAAATTAAACTGTCGTTATAACCGAACCAAACCAACCAAACTTGCCGATAATGAAAAAAATCTTGGACAAAAAGATAATGCTACCAGTGGGATTCGAACCCGGGACCTCCAGCACATCAACCCGGCACGCTAACCACTAGACCACCGAGGCCGATGGCGACAGATCGTATTGTTACGGTAATGGCGTTCCCTCAGCTAATGAGAAGCCCACAGCTGTCATCGTAGCCTCTTCTGTACCTCCCCTGAGTAAATACCGCGTACTGTGTAGTTTAGTAGTTATTTACCTGTATATTGATCTGGTTATTGGCCTGGCTGGTAGCAGGCTGTGTGGTAGGTCCTGACATCAAACCTCCACCCCCAGGACCTGCCTGACTGACTACAGCACCTCCTGCCTGTCCTGCCTGACCCACTGAAAACATGACACAATAGAATGCCTCATTTGAGCTATCAACAAACAAAACATGGACGAAATAGTTTGTTTTGTAGTATAGGTAGTAATAAATAATTAATTTGGTCCTACTATCACAAACAATTTTTTAAGACCTAGGCCCTTGTACCTAAGTTAGAAAACCTCATATATTGACTAAATTTACAGGCTATCTCGAGAATAAACAGTCTAAATTTACTTGTAAGACTATGGTTTTATCATTCAAAGAAAGTAGGTTACTACTGTAATTTCAGTATATGAACATATATCGTACCAAGAGTGTTTTGCTGCTGTCCCATGGAAGCCATAGGTCTACCCATAAGGCCCCCCTGTTGCTGCATGCCTCCTGCCATGGGCCCCCCCATACCTGAGGCCCCTTGCTGGACACCTTGGGCAGGGTTCATACCTGGTGCCTGGCCTGGTGCTCCACCCTGCAAAGGATATGAAGAAAACATTCCCTCAGTTATTTAAAACGTGTTTAGGATAGTGTTTCGTTTTTGTTTAACTGGTAGTCTAGGTTATATTTTTTCCTTTAATGTTCCGTTAATGTCCTAGATTTAACGGTTACCATGGAAGGTGTTTGTGATTTTGTTTGCTACCGCATAAGATTTACACAATTTCAACTTAATGGCGGAAGATAAAAACAATTATGCCATTGCTGTGGTACATGTTCTCAATTTTACCGTGACCGCAGACAATATTCACGATTTCGCAGTGACAGCAGATGATGTTTACAATGTTTCAATGGTCGGGTTTTTCAGAGTTTCATGAGCGTTTTCACAATAAAATAGGTACCGTACGTCGTTGGGTTGTAAACCCTTCTAAATTTGTCCTAAAGCCATATTGCAACAAAATTTTAATTAAGTGAGATGTTCCCGGTGAAATACAATATTCACGCAAAATTTCCAGTCTATGGCCACCCGGAGTCCAATCTCAAAATTTATTATTATTATTTTATATGATTTTACAGTTTGATCCAGGTTTGTGTTTGATTTTAATTTTACTATCTTGTTATGGTACGCAAATTAAAGAAGAGTCTCTCATAAGTTATTATAAACAATAAGTAAGTACCTGTCCCTGACGACTCATTGCTTGCGAAGTCTTCTGATGCTGAATCACTTTCCTCAGACGGTCTACAAAAGCAGCCTGGTCATTAGGAATGAACCCAAGGTAAGCTCTCTTTTCAGCTGTGTACAGTAGGATCAGCACCTTGATGTCACAGGCTGAGGTTGAAAGACTGGTGAAGTGTACACATCCAGCCTGCCACAAACAATAACAACATCTTACTGGTCATCTACATACACAGCTTGTTTCATTCTATGCTGTCAAAGAGAAAAGATCCAAGCCGGGTTTACACAAAGCCAGTTGGTGAGACAGTTGTATTTGCCAATTGTCATCACGTGATTGCGGGATTGTCGGAAGCCAGTTATCCTGCTCGTTTTCCTCAATCTAATCCCGGAGACAACTGTATTTTAGGCCAATTCTGAGGGTAGTTGGCGAGGCAAGTGCTTACTTATTTAGTACTAGGCTAAATAAGTTTGACACAAGAGTACTTACAAAGCCTGAACTCATGACTTTGGTGAGTGACTCGAGTGCTTCACAAGGTTGTGGATGGAACAGAACAGATTTGGAGTTTTTGAGGTAAGCTCCTCCAATGTTGCCTATGAGTTGCTTGGGCATCAACTGCATGATCAGCTTCTGAGGCCAAGAATCTGCTTTCCTGAGGAGATAAAAATCTAGATTACAAACATTTAGTCGTTGACAAAAAGGTATCATGAATATATTTTGTTCAGTTGGCTTTCTCTTTTATTATATTATAATGGTGTCTGTTTGGTAAAAAATATTATCTTTTTATTTTATACAAGACCATCATTATTCATTATCATTTATAAAAATTTCAAATTTGAAAAAAATAATCAAAATTTTTGTTGTGGCACTAAGTTGGTTATCAACAACACAAAATTGGTGCAAGGGTTGCATAAAGGAATTTTCTATTGTATCACTAGGCACGAGCAATGAATTTTGCCGGTTGAAACTTACAGCTCAGGTTCACCATCCTTGGAATGGGCAGAGACCTGACATGGCACATGCCTGGTGTTCTTCTGTGCGTCATTCGGTGTTTTTGATTTTTCAATCCACTCCAGCACACCCTGCCAGATAGTGTGTCTCTCTCTGCCGGCCTGAACATAACACAGCACACATGTGAATGTCAACATCTAATGGGCAGACTTTGCTAACACACACAGCTGGTTCATGCAACTAGGGTTCCTAATGAAAACAATACTTAAGGAGATAACAAATAGGGTAGTAAGGATAGGACACGCTTAGCTCTTATGTTGCCTCTAGGCATTATTCAGAAGGCTGGTTCTAAATTTTGCTTTTAAAATTTATGCTGAGCAAAGTAGAAGATTTGTTGTGTTGTGATTCATAATGCAAATAAAAGCCACTAAAATCGGGGTTTCTCTATGAAACTTCAAAATTCCCTGTTTTCCCAAGGATTTTAGGTCTGTGGCTACTAAATTACCACTAAAATCTCCGCTATAACTTTAGACTTATATCTACCACTATAATGGCTATTACCATTATAATCATACTTGAGAATTAAGACTGCACTCCTTCAACAAGTTTTCCTTCAACAATGGTATGAGGTATAACTTGCAACCTGTTGTAGTTTTAAGATGTGTTTAAAGCTGACTTATTTTTACTTTGGTTACCACTAAGCTTAAGACCTGTAAAAAGATCAAATGTTATAAAATCTTATTTTGTTGTTCTAATTACCAATACCTCTTCAGTAAATTTTCCAGAACACTTAAGTTCATTATTACACTTAGCTTGTTTGTAATAAACCAGCTTCAAAGATCTGACTGTTTGTACCTGTGGTTGTGGGGGAGGCTGCTGTGGCTGAGCAGGTGTAGGCGGAGCCTGAGCAGGGCTGGTCAGTTGAGTACCTGGTGACGGGGCCCCCATCATACGGGGACTTTGGCTCATCTGCTGGTCTACAAAATAGAGCTCATCTTCTAGACACAAACACATAACACACCGATATACACACAACATTCACCATGCAACTACAAGTACAATACTGTAGAAGAGCAACACCAAAGTAGTCTTGAATATCCGACTCAAACCGGCAGCAGAAAGGTGGATTAGAACTAAAAATAACCAAAAACCCATTGTAAACATTAAGTCAACAAATAAATAACGTTAGACCAAGAGATTAAGGTTCTCTAACAAAAGATAAAGAATTCCAATGGCGTCGATAAACACAAAATAAACTGAAGTAAAGACCACTAATGTTACCTTATATTACAAGGTGTGTTTTTTTTAACACAACCCAAATTACAAGTACCATAAGATTCTGTTTAACGATAAAACAAGCTCACATTTTGGTATCCCTGATAATTCTTTATTTCATAATCAATCATCTGATATGCATTGTTGCATAGTTTTCTATCACTTTCAGTGTTTTTTGGAATTTATTGTGAATAAGTCTGAACTTGGCATTTTCACAAGTTCTATTTGAACATAATAAATTATCACTAAACCTCATATATAACTCGAAAGATGCATATTAGCTGATCGGCAAGTCTGGACTTCGTTCAGGGCTTTCACCGAACAAAGAAATTTTACTTTCGGACTTGTGTAAAAAACGAAATTGTGACATCCTGGTCATGCAAGAGACTCATAGAAGTATAACGGACCATAGGCCAAAAATTAATGGCATGAAACTTATTCTAGAGAGACCACATGGACAATACGGTAGTGCAATATTTACAAAGCCAGATTTAACGATCCTTTCTGTGGCATTGACTTGTAATAGCGACATAGAAATTCTGACAGTGGAACTCCAGTCCTGTACAGTAACGTCCATCTACAAACCACCAAATGTGCCTTTCCGTTTTGCTGAACCTGCAAATTTTAGAGCAAAGAGGATTAAGTTTGTAATTGGAGATTTCAACTGCCACAGTACGACATGGGGCTACAGCCAAACTGATGAGAATGGAGAAGAACTTGAGTCCTGGGCTGAAAGAAACGATCTAAAGATCATACATGATCCAAAGTTGCCAGCATCTTTTAACAGTGGAAGGTGGAGGAAGGGGTACAATCCAGACAACATCTTTGTGAGTGACCTTGTTGCACAGCAAACAGTAAAGCTAGTTGAAGACCCTTTCCCTCGGACACAGCACAGAGCGATTACCTTTCTTGCCACCGCTGTGGTGAGCCCCCAATCTGTTCCTTTCAAAAGACGTTTTAATTTCAAAAAAGCTAGATGGGACCTATTTACTGAAGAGCTAGACATGGGCGTTGCTAATCTGCCAAAGGGTTGGAAGGCATATGAAGATTTTGTAGCGCTTGTCAAGAGAATATCCAGGAAACACATCCCGAGAGGGTGCCGTAGGGAATATATTTCTGGCCTGACAGGGGACTCTCGTCCCATCTTAGAGCGGTATAAAGAGCTTTATAATGAAGACCCTTTTTCTGACGATACATTTGAGGCGGGCGAGGAACTGCTTGCAACCCTGACCGAGTCAAGAAAGGAAAGATGGAGCAATTTGATAGGGGCACTAGACATGAAGCAAAACAGCAGGCGTGCCTGGAAACTGCTAAAAAATCTCAGTAACGACCCAACTGCACCGAAGAACCCGCTGACAAATGTTACGCCGGATCAGATTGCACATCAGCTGCTCCTTAATGGGAAACAGCCGCTGGAGAAACCAAAAGAATGGCCTTCCCCAAGGTAGCGTACTGGCCCCTTTGCTGTATAATATTTACACTAATGATCAGCCTATACAGCGTAATACTAAGCAGTTCATCTATGCTGACGATACAGCGGTAGCAGCTCAAGAGCATACATTTGAGGAGGTGGAGAATACGTTGACAAAAACTCTGGAAAAACTTGGAAGCTACTATGATGAGAACCATCTTAAGCCTAACCCAACCAAAACCCAGGTATGCGCTTTCCACCTACGGAACAGAGAGGCAAAAAGAAAGTTAAGGGTACTGTGGAGAGGGCAAGAACTCGAACATAATGACTATCCTCAATATCTAGGTGTGAAGCTGGACAGAGCATTGACTTTTAAACAACACTGCCTTGCTACTAGGCAAAAAGTATGCTCCCGAAATAATATCATTCGGAAACTTACCAACACATCCTGGGGAGCACAACCACAGGTGCTGCGCACTTCTGCTCTTGCTCTTAGCTTCTCAGCAGCAGAGTACGCAGCACCAGTGTGGAGAAACTCTGCCCATGCAAAGCAGGTAAACATAGCCATCAACGAAACTGCAAGGATCGTGTCAGGATGCTTAAAACCAACCCCAGTGGACAGTATATACCCTCTCATTGGGGTAGCTCCACCATATATAAGGAGAAACGTGGCAGCCGCAGTAGAACTACAGAAGCAAGTGACCGACCACCGTCATCCACTATATGGGCATCAACAGCAGCCCTCTAGACTCAGGTCAAGAGTTTCCTCAAAACCACTGAGATACATTCAGTAACACCGGAAGTATTAAGGCTTCAGCTATGGAGGCAGGAGGCTCAACAGCCACCAGTAGAACTCAGAGAGGAACTCCCTGCAGGCTGTCACCTGCCTTACCCCACATGGAGGACCCTAAATAGATTGCGAAGTGGGGTCTCGAGGTGCAAAGTAAACCTCATGAGGTGGGGGTACTATGAAGGAGAACCAAACTGCACATGTGGGGCCCCTCAGGACCATGAACACCTACTAGTTTGTCCAGATATGGGCAGAACATGCACCTGGCTCGATCTTAAGGAGGCAAATGACGAAGCCATATATGTGGCAGATTATTGGAAAAATAATATCTAATTGAGCTGGTGTTTTTATCCGGACACGGAAAGTAAGTAAGTAAGCTGATCGGCAATGAAGTAAAGAAAATAGGGATACCATGATATGAGCTGCTTTTGTCGTTGCTATGTTTGAACATTGTTTAAATTGCGGCTGACTTTTAACTTGTTTTTATTATTGTTTTTGTTTCTAGTTTTTTACTCATGAATAAGTTCAGTTCTATTTTATTAAACTAAAAATAAATAAAATAGAACTGAGGAATAGAATAAAATAGAACCATAGGAAATAAATATTTACCTAATAATTTATGTATTTACTTCAAACATAACAGTTGTTAAAAAGTGTCTCTTGGTGGTTGAAATCCTATATACTCATCCTCCCAACATAAGTCTAGGGTTCGCATAAGAGATGCAAGTGAGACAAGTTATCTGAGTAGCAATCTAAAATATTAAATAATCTCAGGAACTTTTGAATGCCGGTGTCTGAAGAAGCACTTACAGAGTACAGGAGACACCCATCAATGTGTACAGTCATGCCATATAGAAATCACACATAGTTTCTTGGTACTCAATTGTCTGCAAGGAGAGTTGGATAATCAAGACTCTATTATACAAGAAAACAACCAGTTTACAGAAGCAAGTTGACTAATATGATTACATGTTTTTGTTTTGTGTAGATTAAGAATATTAAAGTCAGAAATTATACTTGTACATTTAACTACTCTGGCCAGAACTTACAGCAGTAGGTTAGATAATCATTAGCTTACAGTTAATACTCGCTGGTTTCAACTGAAGTGTAAGCCTGTTATAATCCAAGTAATGTGTTCCCTTTACCTTTACCTGAGTCAAACTTAGCGGAATGTTGTGTGAGGAGGAGGTTTTGAGTTGTCTGTTAAATATATTGTTGCAAAAATAAAAAAGTGGGATTGTTTTTAACATTATCTGATTGGTTGATAAAACATCTGTAGTCATGTAAATGTACAGTATGTGTACATGAAGATTACTAGTACATAAGCTTTTTATGGATTGTGTGATTGTGAAGAGAGCCCAAAATAAACATGGCGACGAAAATGAACAAAAACTATCCAAAAAGCCAAAAATCAATGGAAACAAAATTGTATTTGATAATTGATTATTTAAACATTATGTTTGTTATGTTAAAGTTGAAATTTAAAAGAATCTAAACACGTCAGAAACAGTGTAATATATTAAAATATGTATAGATGTGTTTTTAACTATGGATACATAAAATGTATTGAAAAACAATTTTAATGTTATGTTAAATTCCTACCTCATCTATTACAAATTAGACTATTGTCAAATGCAAGATATTGTTAACCATGCAACTCTAACTACTAATGTTTTTCAACTGAATACCACAGAGAGGGTTAAACACCCCTGTTTTGTTACTATAAAAATAAGAAAATCAAGAACTTTCAGCCTCATGTCTTTGAATCAATTGTTACTCACTCTTCTACTATTTTGTTTAGGTTTAGAATACATTGAACAAATCAATATTCAAAAAATGTTTATCCTGGTCCATTCAGGAATTTTATAATTTTTGGCTGTTTTTTACTTTACTAAACCAGACCAATCAGTTCTAACAAGGAAATATAAACTAAATTGTACTTTTTTTTAACTAATAGATCTGGAAACCTCTAATAATCATGAGTTAAAAGAGAGTAAAGTAAAAGTGTGAAATTGTAGGAACTATTATGTTGTATAGGTTTTCAGGTAACATCCCCAAATTTTATTTTACATTCAAGGTTGCAAGTAAACAAAACAAAAGTTTAATTTTGGAAGTTAAGATGGCTGAATCAATGGGTGTTTCTATTGATTAGGCCTAAGTGGACTTGATAAGATCATCTCCTGTAAATAGAAAATCTAATTTATGTATGTTGTCCATCATGCATTGAAAAACAGTTCAACAAATCACAGTGAAAATTGGGGATCGGGGCTCTTACAACATATAAAATCTTAACATTTTGTGGATTAATAGTATTGATTCATTGATTGTTCTTTGTTTGCAAAGTAAATATTTACACTTTTCAAACCCTTTTAGTTTTTGACTATAGTAGAACCCCTCATATTAGGCCATCACAGGACTGAGACTGGCCGGGTACCAATCTGCCCGGATAAACCAACCTATTATGAAAATTATAATTGATATATCATAATAATGTGTAATCAATAATTGTAGTCAAAAGTAGTGTTCAAGTCTCTCTTGGGATTTATGTTGAATAGTAAAACCATAAGAAATATTAGTATCAAAAAGTGGGAAAGGTAATTAACATGGCAATAAGCCTACTATGAGTTAGGATTGCATCAACTGATGTTAAATAAAGATGGAGTTAAAACATAACTCACAATAAATTTTCCTTGAAGGTTATTTGGCCTTATAGTCCATAATTTTCCAATAATATTTTTATGAAATGAAACAATTACTGGAAATAATAACAAACAGTTTAGAGGTTAGGCCTACTAGCCCAACTGAGTAGAGAACTCGGTAAAATGTACAAACAGATAAACCGTGAGGGCGCTTGACTAGCACAGCCTAGTGCAATGGGTAGCCATGAGCTTCCGAGAATTGGACAGATAAACCAAGGACCGGTAAAACTGAGGCTAGGTATCAGGGGTTCTACTGTACCACACATACAAAAAAAAACCTGGATACTAAAGGATATATTTCCTAACATAACTGGCAATTGTTTTCTGAACTTTATCTTTATCACAGTATGAGATATCCATACAAGTATGAGTTATAGCTAGGCTCCCTTTTACAACTGTTTTGAATTTTCTATTTTATTTAACATGGGGTTTGCTTTAATGGGGTGTAATTAAAAGAAGTTTTACTGTGGAATATTTTGTAGTGGGTGTTTAACTTGAAGCTACTAGTTTTGCTACAGAGTGGTACTGACTGGAGAACTGAGGGTTGACAGCCATGGTGGGGGGTTGTGTGAGTTGTGCTATGAGAGCACTGCCTTGCTGTGCAGTGTTGGTGTACGGGGCTCTGTTCTGAGGAGGCATCATAGGCCACCGTGCCCTGGCCTGGGGCAGCATGTAGCCGGGGGGGAAGGGGGCAGCACCACGGGCGGGGGCTACTGTCTGAGCGGCTGGGGCGGCCTGGGCAGCGGGCGAGGGCTGCGGCTGAGCTGCTGGACTCTGCTGGCTACCCAACATCACCTAAACACCAAACCAGATACTAAGTATCAGCTGTTAATGGATTTCATATATCTAACTTCATGTTATTGTAACAATTTTTTTTTTCAAATTCCTACCTCATTATAAACAATTTTTTATAATATCATTAGAAAATCAACCTCAGTTTAGCAAAATTGCTCTTAGAAAATCTTTATATAACAAATTACTATGACGATACTTATTTATAATGGACATATCTACAGTAATGAACTAATATAATACTACTAATATGAGTCGTAGCACTCCAATAAGCATTGCTAGCTGAGTGAATTCAATATTTAGTTTTGTAAGGACTAGTTTGTCAATTGAACACAGATTTAATCCTATCAGTATCCTAAATGTTTTGTACACAAAGTTTGTATGCTACAAGTACACACAAAATATTTTGGGCAGGGTAAATCATTAACAGTAAAACAATATTTGGAGTTGAGTGGCAATTATTTAGAACAGCTACTTCTATGACGTTAACTCTAGCAATTTAACTCATATCACTCCCATCTCAAAATATTTTGTGTCTAATACACTCTTATTCATGACCAATACTAATTTAAACTTGAGTTAAATTTCACATTCAATCAAATTTCAATAAAAAATAAAGAAATAAAAATATATAAAATAAAAAATTATATTCACTTTCACTTTAAAAGTTGAATTAGGCCTACCTTGAGATCGATAAAGAATATTATAAAATTATCTAAGGTTAAACATTACAAGATAATTTGTTTCAATAGACATGATTTAGCACCTGAGATGAATTGATGACTATAATGTAATAATACAATTACCTTGTCACAGCTGTGAAGTACCCATATATACAGCCGTTTTGGCATTAATATAGGCATGCCGAAACGGCTGTAATATACGGAAACTTCAGAGCTGTGTCAAGGTAATTGTATTATTATATTACAGTTAATAATTTGTTTATCTGTATATTTTTTGTTTAGCTGAATGAATGGTCTACATGTACACTGTATACCTGACATAACTCACAAGGATGGTCTGAATTACATTTCTCGTCCATCAAAATCAATCCAACAACCAGAAAAGAGCAACAACCATCTTAACTGAGATACAAAACCCTTTATCTTTCAGACAGATAACATTTTACTTACTCAACCAACCTATAAATCTTTCAATAAATAACCAACCAATTAATCTGAACAAATTAGGAATATCTTATTTATTAACATTCAACTCTACAACAATGAATTATGTTAGTTGCTAGATTTGATTTTGACATGTAATAACTAGGAGAAATAAAAGACTATTGGAAATAATCGCCAAATAAATAATAATCACACTACCCAAGTTCTAGAGGAAAATCTGGTACTACTTCACAATTGTAAAAATTCACAATTTATGACAACAAGTAAGTATTTACAAAGAATTAAAATCCCATTTAAACAATTTACTAAATGAGAAATTACAATTATAATGTTTTATTTTACTGCATTGAGGATATCTAGACATTCATTCAGGTTAGGTTTGGAGAGAAAGGGCTAATTGCCTGAGAATAGGTGTGAGAAAGGATAGGATAAGCAGGCTTACCTTAGGAAATGTAGGCATCCCACTTCAATACACAGAACACAGAAGAAAACACAAACAAAATAAACACTGGATATTTCGAGGCCACTGGCCCCTTTCTCAACATGGAGAGTCACATTAGATATTTAGAGTTTTTCACTGGTAAGGAAGCAGTGTTGCCAACACACTATGAACTTACAAATGAATATTTACAGGTTAATGAGTCATTGATTTTATTTACACTTAGTCTAAGCCTTCTTTTTAGGTGTGGAAGGGGAAAAGGAAAATGTTAGGCCTATCTGAGATTGAGGTTTGGGGGCTCCCTGGATTTTGTGAACCATTGATAAGAGAGTTCCCATCTCCTTAGTTGTGATGGGTTATATTATTATAGTAGAGGGGTGGTTATTGAAGATAGGCGGTCCAGAACCACCCCTCTACCACCAAATACCATATTGGTAACAATAGACGTCACCTCCCTATACACAAACATCCCTCATGTACATGTCCTAGCTGCTATAGAACATTTCCTGGACCAAAGGCCTAACAAAACGTCTCCGAGTACAGCTTTTTTAGTTAATTTAGCAAAATTTTTTTCTAGAAAAAAATAACTTTCAATTTGAAGGCACAAATTTCCTACAAATAAAGGGTACTGCAATGGGCACTAGAATGGCCCCATCATATGCCAATTTATTCATGGGCCGCCTTGAACAATCATTCCTGAAAACACAAAAAACCCAACCCACCTGCTGGTTTCGTTTCATTGACGATATCTTCATGATCTGGACAAATTCAGAGGAGGCTCTGACTAAATTTCTGAATGACCTCTCCAATTTCAGTCCCCTCCAATTCACCCACACTACGTCCACCGCAGAAATCACTTTCGTGGATGTAAATTTAAAATTACAGAATGGTGTAATCGAAACTGGAATTCATATTAAGCCGACCAACCACCTGCAATACCTTCACTTCAATAGCTGCCATCCTACTAACACTAAACGGTCAATTCCTTACAGCCAAGCCATGTGAGCCAAAAGAATTTGCTCCTCTGACATAGAACTGGAAAAGTTCAATAGCAAAATGAAAAACTCCCTTACTAAAAGAGGTTATCCGGCCAATCTGGTTGAAAACCAGACCCGTCTTGCTCAATCAGAAACCACCAACTTTAGGCCTACTCAAAAAAGAAACTCCCAACAAAACCTGCAGCTTATCACGACCTATCGCCACGGCCTCCAATCCTTAAACACAATTTTAAAAGACTGTTTCAAAATCCTCAGAGCGTCCCCACACACCAAATACTTCTTGGAAAAACCTCCCACAACTACATTCCGACAACCAGCCAATTTAAAAAAGTTGTTAGTTCACCCTGAACAATCAAAACCTAACAAAGACTAAGATAAACCCATAGAAGGCTCATTCCCATGTGACATGGCAAGATGCAAAACCTGCCACTTTAATAGGCCCAGCACAACATTTACAAGCACATCAATAGGGAGAAACCTTCAAAATTAAAAGACACAATATATGCTCCACGAAAAATGTTGAATATCAACTTCAATGCAACCATTGCCCATCTCAATACATTGGACTTATCACCACCAGTTTTAGAACAAGAATGAATAATCATAGGACAGACATAAAAAACAACCATCCAGAAAAACCAGTGCCTATTCATGCTGCCAGCCACAATATGCAAGATTTAAACAGTTGTTTCAATTCAAAAATAATAAGATCTTTCCCTCCCACCTGTAACCCATCACAACTAAGGAGATGGGAACTCTCTTATCAATGGTTCACAAAATCCAGGGAGCCCCCAAACCTCAATCTCAGATAGGCCTAACATTTTCCTTTTCCCCTTCCACACCTAAAAGCAGGCTTAGACTAAGTGTAAATAAAATCAATGACTCATTAACCTGTAAATGTTCATTTGTAAATTCATAGTGTGTTGGCAACACTGATTCCTTACCAGTGAAAAACTCTAAATATCTAATATGACTCTCCATGTTGAGAAAGGGGCCAGTGGCCTTGAAATATCCAGTGTTTATTTTGTTTGTGTTTTCTTCTGTGTTCTGTAGTGAATGAAGTGGGATGCCTACATTTCTTAAGGTAAGCCTGCTTATCCTATCCTTTCTCACACCTATTCTATAGACATTCATTCATTCATGTTTGTTGAAGGAGCCAAAAACACCCCGACTGCAACCCGGTACCTATAACTAAACATAACCCGGGCCCCATAGTGTCGGCCAGAGCTTACGCACCAACCTTAACACATCATGACTTAAGGCCATCAAGCTCACCGGCTGCCAAAGCAACCCTTCGGAAAGAGGGTTACCCCTCAATCCTAACCAGGGATACCGGTTACTTGGTCGCACGGAGACTCCAATGGGTTCCACCAAGGCCGAAACCCCCGAAGGACCATAATGGAGTGCCCTGAACGCAACACAGTGCAAGCAAGACTCGGGACCTACCCAATCCCTGACAGGCCGAAACCTGCCATCAAAGCCAGGAAGAAGGGGACCCCAACCACCTATTTGCACCACTACCCGATCGAGGCCTACCCATTCACTGGGAAACCAGGGATAACCAGGGCGATAGATCCTCAGATACCCCCAGCGGGCTTGATCCCAGCACCCGATCTACTTCGTTTGCCCATCTAGCCCAACATCACTGCCAGGCCATCAGGGTTTCCCAAAAGGAGGCAGGTATAGAAGTGGGACCCACCCGGATGAACCTATCCACCAAAGGTGGCGACACCCTTAACTCAATTGAGGTTCCAGGGAGAACCCCCCAAACTCTAGATAACCATACCCTCTGGGCTCAGAGACAGAGATAGGTAATGGAGTGTGACCACCAGCCGTTACCCTCACACTGTGGAAAGTTCCGTTCCCCTAGAGTGTCCCCGTGAGCTTACGGGTACTCGCCCGATTTCACCTCCCAGGAAAAGGCTACTTCCAAAGTCGAGGATTTGCCACACAAAACGTTGGTTGCACACAACAAGTGGGCCGAAACCCATAGAACCATAGCCACAGGTAGATGGGAGATTGATGACACACTACCACCTCTCCGAGAGCTAAACACCCCACCATCCTGGATGGAGGAATGTCACTGGGCGCTTCCCCTAAGGGTCTGAATAAGATTGAAGCTAATATAATGTATTGGACAGTCTTGAACATTGAAGAGATTTTATCAACAGTTGACAACTCTAGGGGAAAGATGGGGAGAGGAAGACATGGCGTCAGTTTAGTTTAGACATACATTTTGTACCCGCCGCCGTGTAGTAATGACAGTTGTATGGCCACGCATTTTATAGTTTTTTGTTTGTGTTTATGTGTATGTGCTACATGTTTTTCAAGACTTGTGACGACCTCCTTCGATTCATAGATTTAACGTCTAGTTTGACAATGACCAGGTTGAAGCCGGTCGCCTCATAGTCGACTACAGGATCACGTGATGAAAAAAAGGTTAAAAGGTTAGTTATCTAGATCCAAAAAATCTTTCTTTCCAAAAAAAGGGAAGCATATAAATGACCGATTTACTTACCGGAGGAGTGGTCTGGGCAGGTTTGAAGATGGGCTGGGGCTGCTGAGGACTGTTTATATTGGGGAGGGGGGAAGACATGGACTGAATTGGCAGACTGGCATGAGGAGCAGGTGGAACTGGCCCTGGACTGATGGGTCTCTCCTTCAAACTACAACAAAAATAACATGACAATGTCTGTAGAAGGGCTGGGACTGCTGAGGACTGTTTATGTTGGGGAGGGCGGAAGACATGGGCTGTAGTGGCAGAGTGGCATGAGCAGGCAGGTAGAACTGGCCCTGGACTGATGGGTCTCTCCTTCAAACTACAACAAAAATAACATGACAATGTCTGTAGAAGGGCTGGGACTGCTGAGGACTGTTTATGTTGGGTAGGGCGGAAGACATGGGCTGTAGTGGCAGAGTGGCATGAGCAGGCAGGTAGAACTGGCCCTGGACTGATGGGTCTCTCCTTCAAACTACAACAAAAATAACATGACAATGTCTGTAGAAGGGCTGGGACTGCTGAGGACTGTTTATATTGGGGAGGGGGAAGACATGGACTGAATTGGCAGACTGGCATGAGGAGCAGGTGGAACTGGCCCTGGACTGATGGGTCTCTCCTTCAAACTACAACAAAAATAACATGACAATGTCTGTAGAAGGGCTGGGGCTGCTGAGGACTGTTTATATTGGGGAGGGGGGAGACATGGACTGAATTGGCAGACTGGCATGAGGAGCAGGTGGAACTGGCCCTGGACTGATGGGTCTCTCCTTCAAACTACAACAAAAATAACATGACAATGTCTGTAGAAGGGCTGGGGCTGCTGAGGACTGTTTATATTGGGGAGGGGGGAGACATGGACTGAATTGGCAGACTGGCATGAGGAGCAGGTGGAACTGGCCCTGGACTGATGGGTCTCTCCTTCAAACTACAACAAAAATAACATGACAATGTCTGTAGAAGGGCTGGGACTGCTGAGGACTGTTTGGGGAGGGGGGGAAGACATGAACTGTGGTGGCAGAGTGGCATGAGCATGCAGGTGGAACTGGCCCTGGACTAGTGGGCCTCTCCTTCAAACTACAACAAAAATGGTGCTATTTATTTTGTATAGGGTGAAGTAGTAAATTGTTTGATTGCTCGTTTTTAGGACTGTCATTTTAAAGATTACAAAAATGTACTTAACCAAACAAGAATATACAAGGATATAGTATAGTGTATTATAACTTTACCTTTACTTTTAAGTTTTCTTTCATGTTATTTATGTAATGTTCTATCAAGATTTTTTCCATTGTGTATCCAACCAGTTGACTATCATTAATTAACGTGGCCAAGGTTGGACTTACCTGTAACCTTTGAGTAACACAAGGTGACGAGGATCTTTGGCGTAGTTCTTAGTTTGACTCGGCAGATCTCCTCCTGCCTTCTCATACAACTTGAACAGAGCAGGGATCTTACGGGGAGACAAAATGGAGAGGTGAATGTTCCGCTGAAAATATAATCTGTTATTGTCAGCTCACAAAGTGAGAAACACATAGAAAAAAATAACAGAATAAAACTAGCCAGTATGAAGTATGTATGCTCTAAACAAATTATTATCATCAAGATTATTGTCTCACACTAAACTTAAAATCTACAAAACTATCATAAGACCTGTTTTAATTTATGGAGCTGAAACCTGGGTTATGGATAAAAACACAGATAAAAACTAATTACTTTTGAAAACAAAGACCTGCGCAATATCTTTGGCCTTACTAAAGAAGGAGACGTATGGAGAATTGAACGTAATCAGGAACCCAGACCTGTTGTTTAACGAGCCTGATATAATTGCAGAGGCTAAAAGCAGCAGGCTTCGCTGGACGGGCCACATCATTAGAAGAGAGGAAACAAGCACATTATATCAAATATGGAAAAGTGATCCACTGGAAAGAAGACCATGAGGGAGACAGAATAAACGCTGGACGGATGAAGTAAAGAAAGATATGGCGAGTATGGTAGTCAATGAAGATACAGCAAGAGACGGGACGACGTGGAGTGTGACTGGGACAGGTGGCGTCGTCCTGTAATCCAGCTACTAGGAGGTCACGAATTGTGGATATTTATAGGCATGCACTGTGGATGCGATACTCCCTGGTGTGGATTAACGTCCGCACGAGTGAGTACTACAACTATCCGCAGTACTATCCTGATAATTAGACCAATTCGTATATACCAAGGCAAAAATGTGGTTCAGATTCCACTATAAACTGTAGGTCCCTTACTTGCCATTAGCTGTATGGGCTATTAATTACAGCTGTGTCTAAGGAATGTCGGCCTTAGTCACTAACAAGACTACAAGATCGCGCCACTCATCCTACACTCATCTCCATTCATACTTGGCTTAAAATACCTACTTTGTATGGTCGCCATTTCATTGAAAAGTATTAAAAGTGTTGGTGAGGCCCAGTACACTTGGGATACAAATGGACATGGGAGTAAGTAAGTAGTAAGTAAATATAAATCATAGAAGATACAATATCGGGAAGTTCTTTTGCAAATGCATTTGTTAGTTCAATCTGGCAAATATTCATGTAAATCTTGTTAAAATGCGAGATAGGTAAACTGCTCAGCTATAGCTAATATTTTCATTAATTTTTAAGAGTTGTTAGCCTCCGGATTACGTTTGAATATTTATAATGGTTTAAATACCTGCATTCAGTAATCCAATATGCTGCTTGTGACAACTATAGATTCGGTTCACAAGGAACCATCTTCAGGCCGTACAAGGCGTCGTTATTCACTTCCATATATGAAGGTCGTCATTTAATAAATAAGTACATAGAACACGAACACAAGAAAACGCACATTGATACAAACATTTAACATTAAAAAGACCGAGTACTCGGGAACACGAGACAGGTGACGCGACTGGGTGGAAGTTTAGCTCGAACTGGTGGTCAGTGGTCAACTGGTATGACGTCAGCCATTGTCTCCTTATCACTGCCGGCTCGCATTCATTCCTTCTCTCCTCCTCCCCCATCCAGTATTTTGATTGTGGTGTTATAAATGGAATTCAATTGGAATGAGAGTTTGTCATTTAAAAAATTTTGACCGTCTGTTTTGACTGCCTTGTATATTTCAAGATACAAGGCAGTCAAAACAGACGGTCAAAATTTTTTAAATGACAAACTCTCATTCCAATTGAATTCCATTTATAACACCGCAATCAAAATACTGGATGGAGGAGGAGGAGAGAAGGAATGAATGCGAGCCGGCAGTGATAAGGAGACAATGGCTGACGTCATACCAGTTGACCACTGACCACCAGTTCGAGCTAAACTTCCACCCGGTCGCGTCACCTGTCTCGTGTTCCCGAGTACTCGGTCTTTTTAATGTTAAATGTTTGTATCAATGTGCGTTTTCTTGTGTTCGTGTTCTATGTACTTATTTATTAAATGACGACCTTCATATATGGAAGTGAATAACGACGCCTTGTACGGCCTGAAGATGGTTCCTTGTGAACCGAATCTATAGTTGCCACAAGCAGCATATTGGATTACTGAATGCAGGTATTTAAACCATTATAAATTTTCATTAAAATTGAAATGTGATATTTCTTAATGAAACAATAATGGGAACTTCAGCTTTCTGATCTTTATGTGATGTTTTCTTTAATGGAAATTGCTATACTGAGAGCTATACACTTTTTTTATATTAGCGCCAGTGTGTACTTCATTGAGACCATTCCTCACAGAACCTACTCACAGAGTATTTCCACATGTTTTCTTCATTAAATTTACCATTATCCATGTCAATTTATCCAAATGTTTACTGTTTGTTATGATAGAGTATTACTCGTTTTAGAAAGCCTTAGTATCTTTTGTCCAGTCCAAATTCAAAACTATTTTACATTCGGCAGCTAAACTGTATATCAAATTTGAAAATTGGAAAAATTTTGAGACTAAACTTGCCTTTGATCAAAATCATTAACTTTTCACTGAGTAGGCCTACTCTGACCTAGTGGTGATGGTTGATCAGTGCCTTCAGTGAACAGGTAACTAGTGGGAAGTGTTTACTCTATGAACAGAGAATCTCTTAAATAATCTGCTAAGCAAAACTATTGAATTGACATATTACCAATTTTACCCAATTTTGTAACATCTATAATATTAAAACGAAACAGAGTTTTTTTATTTCACGATTCTGAATCAACCACTGGACGGATTTTCATGATTTTTGTGTTGAAAGAAAGATAATTTTGAGAACTAGGGAATGTCGAAGCCATAATTTCAGTTTAGGGTCCCAGTTTTTTAGAAATTAAGTTTAAATTTTTAAAAAGTCTAGCAGCCGACGCTAAGATTCTAAACTAGCTTTTGGCATAAAATAATTTGCTTAACATAACAGCTGTAAACATTCAGCTTTTGTGTCACAAATTCAGCATTTGGATAAAAATGTAAAGACATACTTAGGGTTCACTTATTTATACTATGTGTAATGCTAATCATTGATACGTTCAATTCTTCTGTAAGAGGATGACAGATTAATTAAATATACATAGTAAAATACTAGGATGTTCAAGTTATTTTTTAAAGCAATCTTTGTAATCTTTGATTTGTTTTATAGCAATATAATTTGTTTTAACCAAGAGCTGGTTAAATATAAACTATGGAACTATGAGGTTATTTTATTTACTCTTATTTTGTCATTGATTATAGGAAATAAGTAAGATTAGTAGAGATAACTAGACCACAGTTAGTTTAGATAGTTCAGTTAGTTTGTAGAATAGTTTAGACCAAAATTAATTAAACCACAGTACAAATCGAGGCTCTGTACACGAGTCTTAATAAAAAAAGGATAAATGCAAATTATTTTACTGCTCCACTTTTCAAGGAAAGATTAGAAAAATAACAATGTTTACATGTTTTAATTCTTCATGGTAGCTTTTTGTTTACAATTAATGTTTGTCTGCTTTAACTTTGTTTGGATTAGGCCCGGAAATATTGATGTCATAAAAAGAAGATCAAGAATAATCAGGAATCACGATTTTAAATTACCACCACAACCGTAGCCGGGTTTTATACAAAGATAATCAGATGGATGACATAGATTGAACACAACGTCAACATTGACCTAGGATACTGCAATTAGACAAACCATCTTTTTTATGAAATCATGTTCAGTTGTGGTTACGTTTGGGGGTGCCTATATCAGCGCCCACAAACGTGAAAATATAACTTTTATTTCAACTATGAATATATTGTAGTTTAAATTAACTAATATGGGAATATACTGTGTACATTTATTCAATGAGGGTGGGTAATTATCAAGGATAGAACTGATAACGGTATGGATAATAAACATTGACAATTAATTACGTCATTAGCCTTACTAGCGTGTTTACTTTTTATATTCCTGCTACATGTGACCAGTTCTTTTTTTTCAAATGAATGTTATTTGAACCAAACAGCTGTTTCAAAACAAACTGTTATTGATTTTACTTTTCTTTGTTTACACTTATTTATTTAGCAATTAATGCAGTGAAATTGATATAAAGGATACGTGTGACGATTAGTTTTGATGTTAGGACACCAAAGTTAAATTATGTGTACTGTGAATTTTATTGGATATTATCGTTTTATTTTAGGTCGTTTCTATTCAGACCTACTGGAAATTGTGTATAGTAGTTGTATTGTGGTGATAATAATTATGGAAGAGGCAGGTATGCTATGGAAGGTGGTATTGTTGACTAGGTCTATACACTTCTCAATTGACTATTACTCTCTCTACTGTAGGCTACTTATAATCAGTGTGCGTCTGTGCGAATCGACTGCAAATCTCACTTCAACGCTTTTCACATTATAAAAATTGCAGAATTGCTGTTTTATTGTAAAATTATCGGATTTAAAATGCATATTGTATAGGCCTATGATGGAATAAAAACATATTTGGTCACACAACATTTGTTTACAAAAGGATTTTTCACACTGCATGAAACTTTGTCTCTATATGTGTAAACTAGCTGATCTGAATTGTACACGGTTTTAACTGACTACTGAATTCCCGTACGTAGGACGGGCTAACACCTCGTCTATATATAAAGCCAAAAGTACCCGTGAACTTTTGAGAAAACTACAAGTCACACCCCCATAAACCATATACTTAAAATGTTCGTCATGACGAGAAACCTTGCGCAAAATTATGCATTATGTCATAAATTGCCCTTTAAGGTCGTAATTCCTTTCTAAAGGGAACTTTTCATATACCTAATGTTAAAAATACCTCAGCTGTACTTATTTGTTTGTTATTCTTTCAATTTATTACCTTATTAAAATCTGGTGTGATTATTTGTTTCTTTTACTGTATTTTGTTTATTTCAGGTTAACTTAACCAATCAATAGTTTTATTAATACTTATGATGTCAAACGGGGCGAAGCCCGTGGGTAACAGCTAGTTACATCTAAATATTAAATGCATAAATAGTTACCTCGTTTAGTACCCCAGCTAGTTGTTCAACATTGAGTCCATCAAACACAGGGGTTTCTCTGACAGGCATCATGTAGGGAGGTGAGTTACACACCAAGATGCAATGTTTCTGAGGTGAAGCATTCACATCTCGCTTGGGCTGCAGATCCTCAAAACACAACAGAGCTGTAGCCAGCCCCTCGGCAATGTTGGCATGTGACTCACCCTTGCCTCCTACAAACCTACAGAGATAAAGTACAAATCAAATAATTATTTGGCAAAGAATAGAGTTCTAAATAAATCTCAGTAAAATGTGTAAAATGGATTGATGACTTATTGATGAAGATAAACTTTAGCAATTACAAAAGAGAAATAGACAATAATCCTTGTGTGTCCACATTTACACAACAATGGTCCTCCAGAGGTGATGGTTGTGGACCAAACAATGGTCCTGAAGAGTTAAGACTTTCTAATCATAATTAAGTCTAAAATATCACTTATCTTGAAATTGCAATCATGAATCTATATAAAGGCAGACTATTGTTCAAAATCACGTTCCTTATATACTTACTCCATTCCGATTTTCTCAAGCATCATGAGCACTTTCTGAGGACTGGTGTATGGGCCATATGTGTCACTGCTAAGGTTAGGTAGGCAGTCAGCTGCCTGATACGTGACAATCCCATAAAGTGTGTTTGTACTCTGAAACATTGCAAATTGAAATTTTTAATTAAGAAACTTACAACACGGTATGCATATAAGATATTTAACAATCAAAGAAGTAACCACAGTAATCTTCTGCACTTGGGTATCTTACCCATTGAACACAGCTTAGAATTCATTTATAATACTTCAAAGTAATATTGGGCGTTTATTTATTGACGGCAAATACCATTTTACAATAACGTTAGAAATTGGTAAACAATCAATATATTAATACGCGAGCAGTTTTCTTTTCACAGTCATAACTAGATAACGGCTGGACGGATTTTAACGTTTGATGTGTCAAGTTAAAGGTATTTTTTCGTAGATGTGTAAATATGTCTCAGAATGTTAAGAAATGGCATCACTTAAGTACAGTTGAGGGCTAAAATTTGGGAACAGTGGCGCTATCTGTCGTAATTAAATCAAACTTAATTCACTCTGTTTACAACTAGAAACATATGGACACGGTTAAATAGTTCTTAAGGTTAATCACAGACTGCAGGACTTATTACTTCCAGAGCAAAGCCTTACAGTTCGGTATGATGAAGTGAATGTATAAAAGTGCTCATTCGCAATGCATTCATGGGTATTACCTTACCATTTTATCATGTAATTTACAATGTGTATCATTATTTCTTTGTAGTGTTGTTTGGTTTAGCTCTTTCGTGTTTTATTTAAATTTTAAATTAAATGCCACCTAAGACAAAGAACTTCGAGTGGCCGGAAGAAACGCGAATAGAGATCTACGAATATAGATTTATATATATATACGTTCGTGAACACGATAACTTGAGTAATTTTTGTCCGATTTTGATGAAATTTGGTTTAAAGGTGTAAGGCAGGATAAACTTGAATGAGTTCGCAAACCAGCATGATCGGACCTCATGCTCATTCATGCTCATGCTCATGATCGGTTTTACGGGGGGTTTTATGGGATAATAGGCTAAATGATTTTTCTCATTTTTGACCCTCAAAACAAAAAATTCCCAATTCCTCTTTAGACCTTTTTAAAGAGCTTAAAAAAAATTGTATATCAAAGTGTTTTTGTACTGTTATTGGAAACGGAAAAAGTTAACAAAATTTAAATTTAAAATTCCCATGGTATTCTTATGGAGAATATTGTAAAATGTTGTAGTTTGCTTGATTACGGATATGTTTTGATCAAACTTGGCAAATTTATTTATTTAATGCTACTTCCCTATAGGGAAATTCGCTAAAACGGTGAATATTATGTTATTTGCGTCTTAACCCTCTGAGTGTTAAGCGTCGCGAAAACAACGCACAACACACCTGCCGTGTAGTTATGCGTCGCTTTTGCGACTCACAAACATCGTTTATGGCGAAGGCTCTGGGACTGACTGAATCAGATTGAACTGGATCGAGATTGGTATTGTTGTTTTCGGCAAATTCTAAGCTTTCTCCTGATGCTTGTTTCTAAACACTTTTCATTTTAGTTACGATCATATTGTAGCAGACAGATGACGTGCGTATTTGTAAACAACTTGGTTAACCTCACAACGATGACATTGTGTTTTATTACGTTTATCATTGTTTTAGTGTTAAAAATAAAAAGTAGTGATATACGTGGTGCATTATAAGAAGATTTAAGTGATTTGGAAGGGCTGGTTGATGATCCTGAAGAAGTAGGAATTGATATTGATGTAAATTATCCGCCAGATTCCTAGCTATGCTGGCTATGCATTCTTAGCAAAACGCTAAATGTACGAAATATGTTTTTCACCCATAACTTATTTATTTACAAATTTACTTCCTTATATTGCTATATTTTTGGAATCCTCATAAAATTTAGAACAAAGTGACTATTTTAAAATATTTGTAGACCTATAAGTTATAAAAATTTATTGAGCACAAATATAAATTTTTTCATTTATTTGATCCTTTCTGAGAAATGTTAACCTCACGAAAATTGTTGAAATTTTTTTTTGTAATGTTAGCGAATTTCCCATATAGGGAATAAGCTATTACCGTAGTACTCATGGTAAGACCTGGACCCGAGACCGATCTAATTTTTCATTTTGAGGTCCCTAGAGGCCAAAAACACCATCCGTTCAAATTCATATATATATATATATATATGTGTCCGTTAGCGCGATAACTCGAGCAAAAATGATCCGATTTTGATGAAATTTGGTACAAACGTGTAAACCTACGTTTATTCAAACGAGTTCGCGATCCAGCATAATCGGACCATGGGAACGGGGGATTATGGGGGGTTTTATAGGGTAAAAATGGGTTTTTCCCATTTTTGAACCTAAAAACAAAAAAATTTGTGATTTCTTTCTTAAACGTTTTGTAGAGCTTAAAAAAAGAAATAATTTAGTATATTGAAGCGCTGTTGTATGCCTAACGGTCACAAAGAAAATTCAAAAATAGTGTAATTAAAAATTCCCATGTTATTCTTATGGAGAAAATGAAAATTGTTGTAGTTTACTTGTTTATGGGTAGATATTGATACAATTTGGCAAATTTATTTATTTCATCCTAAACTATTGATGTATGGTCAAAAAACACTTTTTACCTTCCCCGTAGCAGCAAACCTGAGCACTTGTTAAATCTAATGTTATTTAAATAGGGAATAATATGTCTTATTTATGGAAATATTTTAGGAAAAATGTAATTAGACAAGTTGAAATTAGCTTAGTCTGCAGGTTTGCTGCGGCGGGGGTATTTTATATATTACATTGAAGCCCATAATTTTCCAAACAAAATTATATATTTTTCGTAAAACCCTGTGATTGCGCAATAAAGGGGCCAACATTATTACCACTACTATGGACACTTGGAGGGTTAATAAAACCTGACCACAATTTATGACCTCTTTATTTATAGGTTGTATAAAATGATAACATACTAAGTTATATATTTTTTATGTGTCTTATAAACAAATACACGATATAGCACATACATTTTATAGGAAATCTTATCTACTTTTTGAATAAGCATTGTTTGTTCTACTCCATAAACATTTTATGTTTTTTTTGTTTATAGTATCCTAAATTCATTTTGATAGCTCCCGGACTACGTATAATGACTTTCTAGGCTTACCTCCGTCATTATATTGAGTTTTAGCCTCCTGATCACATTTAAATACTAAATAATGGTGTAAATACCTGCATCTATGTGATCAATGTGTTGCTAAAATGCAACCGGTTTCGACTCACAAAGGAGTCATCGTCGGGCCAGTACAGATGTCTTCTTGCTTCATTTGAAGGTCGTCAATTCGTAATAAATAAATACATTTAACACGCACACGTACACGAACATAGAAACAAACATTTAAGGTTAAAAACGAAAGATAATACTATGGCGGTAACGGGACACGACGTGATCGGGCGGAGGTTATGTCTAGACTGCCAGTCATGATCAGCGTGGTCAGTGATGACGTCGTGCCTGGATTTCCCGATCAGCTGGTAACTTCATTCACAACTGTCCCTTGTGCTATTATCTTGATTGCAGTGTCGTAAATGTAATTCGATTGAAATGAAATCTTGTCGTTGATGATGTTTTGGCTGTCAATTTTAACGGCCTTATAAATTTCGAATTCTTCCAAGGTGTTTGTATTAAATCGGTCATTTGAGAGGTGTAGGATTTTCATGTTATTATTAATATTAGTGTAATTGTGGTTGTGAGAAACCGGTTGTCTCCTTTGTGAGTCGAAACCGGTTGCATTTTAGCAACACATTGATCACATAGATGCAGGTATTTACACCATTATTTAGTATTACCTCCGTCGGTAAAAATTATGTTCAACTTCAATTATTCAAAGATGACACGTTTCGTTGTAATGCAACATCGTTGGAGCTTGCAACACGTCAAAAACATCAAAATTTACATATAATACAGTATATTATACGCGACACGGGACACTTAAACACGAAAAAAATACGATAGCACTATCATGACACGGCGCGGCAGTCTACCTACAACCGCTGCCACTTCGTGTCATGATAGCGCTATTGTATTTTTTCATGTTTAGCCTAAATATTCCGTTTCCCGTATAATATGTAGGCCCTACTATATGTAAATTTTGATGCGTTTTGACGTGTTGCAAGCTCCGAAAATGTTGCATGGCAACGAAATATATTAGCTTTGAATAATAATTGAAGTTGAACAACATTTTGGACTACTAACATGGAGGTAAGCTTAAAAAGTTTTTTTTGTTTGTTTATAAAATGACTTATCAGCTGATCTTGATTTTATAGTCAGCAGAAAAAGAAATTAAGAATTCAATCACGCTTATAGAACAGAAAATATATAGGAGAGTTGGCAGGATAGTCAATAGTAGGATAGTCGGTCAAGATGTCGGGTCGTACAGTTCGTTATCCCTGTGGCGTCTGTGAAAAAACCGTGAATAAAGGAAATCACGGAGTTACATGTGACGGATTTTGTTGTAAATCGTTCCATACCGATTGTGTGTCATTTGAAAGTGATAAATACCAATCTATAACAGAGCTGGGAGACTCAGTCAAATTCAGTGTGAACAACTTCCCACTAAGTACCAGGGTTACTCATCTTTTAAGGTAGGTGTACCTTCTGACTTTATTGACAAGCTGTTGGATAGCAATCTCTGGCCTGTAGTGGGGTGGGTTAGCTGAAAAATATTTCACATCTGGCAACCAACGCGCCCCTTTCGATTCAGATAGTACATGCGTAGACGAGTCCAAAAAGTCCGGGACACAAATTTTTCGGACACTATGGGTGTTGATGACGTAATCAAAATGGCCGCCAAAGTTGTGTGACATGATTCTACATTTCCCTATATAACTCGGGTTCATATTCTAATAAAGCCCTACATTTTTAGTGATTATTAATCACGAAAAAATTACCTTTCCGATGGTGTACTTTACTTCATTGTTTAGATTCATAATACTACGAATATTTATATTTGTATTAAATATTTTGTTTTTGATTTAGATTTTTTTAAATCATTTTGCTAAGTGTCGTGGATCGTGTTACACATAGCTGAAAACGTCTTA